GGCGTAAGAGTGACTCCTGCTGGTCTTTTTTTGGTAGAGGTATTAAGATATTCTACAAATAAAAAATATTGGTCCTTAGTTTCTTGCAAGAATTTTAAAATATATAACTATTTTACAAAATTGAATGATACCATATTAAAAAATTTAAGCATAACACGACCAGGCCCTAATTTTTTTAAAAAAATATTAAGACCGGCCCAGCCAGAACCGAAATCATTATTAAAAATAGACTTAGCCCGGTCAGAGGTTTTCAAGAAAGAAATTCTATTTATAATATAAAATTATTAATTTGTATTTTTTCTTATTTTAACTGCAGAATTTGCAGTTTGCCTAGTACAGTTTTAGGCAAACCGTATATTAGCCCTACTCCATATTTATTTAATCTTTTAACCTCACCTAGCCTAATAACTCTTTAAGCAACAATTAGTATGAGAAATTTGTAAAAAGACATAGTATTAGGGATTCAATGGCGTCTCTCAATAGGCGACAAATTTATAATTAATTATTTAAAGAAGGAATTTTTTTTTCTTATAAATTAATTTTTTCTGAACAAATTATATTTTTACTAATTAAATTATATTTATACTGACCAATTTCCTATTTAATTTATTTAATATTGATATATTATTTATACAGGAAACATTAATTTTATATTGGGAAAAATGAATATTTTTGCTGATCAAAAAATATTGAGACATTTACTAGGGGTTATAATATAATTTTTATTAGGTTACTTTATAGTGAGGAATATTTCTTGGGAAAACTGGGGATAAGGTTTAGTTAATTTATAATTGGTGGCCAATTGTCTCATTTTAATAAGTGATGTAGGCATGACTTTTTTAGTTAATTTTTTCTCAAACCGCTACCGTCATTTATTTTTTATTTGCTACTTTTTCACAAAAAAGCGTTATTTACACGTTACTTTTATTTTAACAAAAAATTTTATCACTAGAATTTTTTGTAGAACCAACTGAATTTATGTTCATAGATCTAGAACTTACAAATTTTTTTTAACCCAAAGCCATAATATAAATTAAATATTAAATAATAACTATATATATATAATTTTATTTTTTATTTTTCTGGTATTTTCACTAAGATCAACTTTTTCAGGAGTTTTAAAAACAATATGCTTTAAACTATATTATATTTAGACATTTTTTAAAAAAATGTTTAGGAAACACTTAATTAAACTAAGACAAATTAATTTTACAATTTTATTATACACTAAGACATTATTGAAAACCGCAAAAAATTTTTTTTTTATAGTCAGTTCAAGTACAGAATGAGAAAAAGACTGTTTTAAAGATCTATCTACATGGGTAAAAGTAAAAATGGCTACAAAAATATTATTTAATCCTGAATTTAAAAATTACAACAAAGGTTTTGTAAATGAATGTTGTAGAACCCTATTGAAAGTGTTAAATCCTGAAAAATAAATTTACTCTAATATATTTGATTAGTTCTAAAAACGCCACTCTTTAATAAAAAATGTAAGTTTTTTTGCCACACAATAAATTAGTCACATACTTGATGACAAAATTATCATGTTGGGAATAATTCTATCAGTAAGTATAATTATTTATTTTGAAATGGATTATGGGTAGAATAAAAAGGGGATTGTGGTAATCCGATATCAACTTGATAAGTAGCTAAATTAAGATAAAAGGGAAAGGAAAAGAGTAGGATAAATGAAGGTGTGGATAAAATATGGGGTGATATATGGATTTCAGAGGTGGTCAAAGGCATATTGGCCTAGGGAATAAAGTAAAATAAAAAAATGTCTATAAAGAGATATATTTGGTAAAGAGGTAAGAGAGAGAGAAAGTTTAAAGTCAGATGTAAAGTTGAAGTAGAGTTTTTGGAAGGATGGGGATATAGATGGGGAGAGACTAAAAAAATATAATTACATATTGATATGAAAATTAAGATTGTAAAAGAGGAGAGTAAGAGATTATAGTGGATAAAAATGAAGAAATAGGTTTGACAGAGTAGGGCTGGAGATCAGAACAAAAACCAAATTCTTTGTTATAAATTTCAAAACAAAATAAAAGTTATTTTTTCAATATTCTAAACCAACAGAAAATATTTTAAGATATAAAACCAAAAACAATACTTTTATTTTTTTGTTTTATCATCTACGCCTGAATATTGACTAAATTTGATGTTATAAAAAAAGACATTAATTTTGGCGAATGATATAAAATATCCTGTATTTTTGTATTCTCCGCAGCGAATTCGCTCTAGAATGAGAGGTTAGCATGCATTCACAGTTAGCATGAATTCTAGGCGAAGTTTACAAAATTTGTTGTATTTATGTGTAATTTTATATAATTCGCTGCGAATTCGCGTTAACTGTTAATGAAGGGTTACTCAATAATTAGTTCTCCAAGAGCCTCTAATTGGCAAAACTCTTAAGCGCTATCTTTTGTAGTTTGAATTTCTTTTATAAATATTTATAAATAATAGGCCTTTTCTAAAAAAAAAATTTCCTACGTGATAATAATTTATGATTGGTTAAATGAATAGGTAGGACACCATAATAATTAAAAGATTGTGTATTCTTTATTTTATTACATTAACATATTTAATAAAGTTTTTGTTTTTTTTAAATGTAAAGGAGTTGGGGGAGACCTCTAAGAATAATAATTCGGTGCTAACTTAATTTCGACCAAAAGTAGACATAGAACACTCTAATAATCAAACAGCGATATTTATATCTTATAGATTTTTAATTATTCAAATCAAAAAAAAAAAACTTAAAGCTATGTCCAAAAACTTTTTAATATGGAAAAACAAAATAAATATTACATTCACTTATCTAAGATTCAATATTCATTTAATAACCTATTAAGGAAAAAATTGAAAAAAATTATTTTAAAAAAGGTAACGAATGAAGTCTTTTTTTCCTTATACCTCGCCCTAGATCGACTACGAATTTAGTGAACTAATTTATTCGTATGTTCAAGAATTTAAAACGAAATTCACATAACACATATAGGTTCAAAACGAATAACATATGATTCCGAAATTGGTAAAATTGGTTTTAGCAATGCAACTTGTTCACTTACGGAAAATAACGTTAATACGAAATTCGTATACTAAATAAACCTTACTTTACATAATGGTTTTTAATAAACTGAACCAGCTGATAAAGATTAAGCCATTAATCACTAAAATATGTAAAATATATGTCATTTTACCTCGTACGTAAGGAATATCATTTTAAATTCATAAAGAAACATTTCAAACTTGAAAAATATAGATCAAGTTTATACTCTACAAGGGTTTGAAATAATACTTTACAAATTTTGAAATAATAGAATTCAGAGATCTTGATTCCCTACCCGATTCTCCAACCACCGCCCAACAATACTTAAAATCCTCCTATCAAGAATCAGAATTCCAATGCTTTACTACAACTGCCACGCTTAATAAATCCTACGAACGTCGCTCACTCTAAAGGGAACTGCGCTCCAAATTTGTTTTGTTAAATCCCTTTTCCGATGTCAAATGGGTAATCCATACACCCAACATTTGCCTTTTTTTTTTATTTAAAATTGAACCTTTTTAGTTTAACTTTGCTTTTTAACCTTTTAAATAAACTTGCATATTTATTTTGGCTATTAATTATCTGTAAAAATTTTTTGTTACCTTAATAGGTCAATAAACTGTAAATAAACTAAGACTTTATTTTTTGATATTAAATATTCTAGTTGTAGTTTGCCTTACTTCATTTGCTACATTTTATGTTTTCTGCCGTTTTATTTTACTATTTCAATATAAAATGTTCATTTTTGTTACTTGATCTTAACTTTTATTTTACGTATCCCTATTTTCTAAATTGTGGATACTTCTATAACTAGACCTATATTTAAGTTAGCTATAGCTCGTCTCACTTCACTATTTGTAATCTCCTCCTTCATTGTCTAAGTTACCTCATGGCTAGTAGGAGGTGTCCAAATTCCGCCTACTAACTTTTTAGACTTCTCGAACTACGAAATACGACAGTTACATGTCTAAAATTTGTTCTTTACGAGTTTAGATACTTTATGAGATAAAATGTTATATATATTAGAGATCTGCAAAGTTAGACCCGGCCCGAACGGGCTTCGGACCGGGCTTGGGCCTAATTCTATTAAAATAATCGGATTCGGGCCGGGCCGGGCTTAATATTTTTAAAAAAAATTCTGGCCTGGTCGGATCTTGGAAATTTTTTTAAATATATCTAATTTTTTAATTTAATTTTTATGTAAAATAAAAATATTTAATTTTATATATTGAAACTAAACGACATATAACATATGTCTTTTATTTTGAGTAATTACATAAATTAATTTCTATTTTTAAATAAATTCGGGCCGGACCGGGTCTGTAAATTTTTTAAAAAAAATTTCGGGTTCGGGCCGGGTCGGCAAAACTTTTTCAAAATAATTCGGGTTCGGGCGGGGCCGGCAAAACTTTTTTAAAAAAAATTTCGGGCCGGGTCGGGCTTGAAAAATTAGGCCCGATGCAGATCACTAAATATATATTAAAAATATAAATTTTACATTTTTAGTCCTACCAAATTTTTAAAATATAAATATTTTCTTGAAGTTAAAATTTTTTTTATCTTTCTTTCTTTTGGTTCACGTAACATTTTTTTTTAAAATATTTTACAGAAAAAAGTATTTAAATTTTAAAAAAATTTATAAAATGAAAATATCGATTTCTAAAAATAATAAATATTTTATATTTAAGGATAAAAAGTTATAATTTCTATATAAATTTCATTTCTTAATTTTATAAAATATAATTTTTAATATTAAAACAAATATGCAAAAATTTTAATCAAGAAAAAGTGTTAATATTGCACAAAAAAAAGTAAACTTATATTTTAAATCAATATTTAAAAAAAAAACATTTTTATTTAATTTTGTTTTAATATATATTTTTTAAATAATAATAATTATAGTTTATTTTTGAGACTGAATAGAATATCATAAATTTATCCAAAAGTGTTTAAATTCGTCAAAGAAAAAAATTCTGTTTCATTTTTTTGATGAATCTATTCCGAAAAAAAAATCCTTAAAAGAACAGAATTAATATATTTTCAATGACCTTATATTTTTTAAAATCGACAATGATTATTAACATATTACGATACCTATCACTTATACAGCCATTTTTCGTTCCAATTCATATATTCCACTTTTGACAGGTAAATGAGTGAAAAGGAAGAAGAAGAAATTATGGGTGAGAAAAAGCCCGAGAACGAGCCTCTCAGTGACACCCTAAAGCCATTAAGAATTATACATTCCATCGACGAGTCACCAAAAATTAGCTACATTCCTAGCACTAAATCACGCGATGATACAACAAAGTTAATAAATGTGAATATTCCATATGATCAAAACGTTGTAAAACACACAATTTCCCAAAGAGATATTCCCAAAAATGGTAAATCCAAAATGAATAATTTTGATGATGCAAATGCTATCTTGAATAAATCCATGCCTTTCTCCCATGTAAATAAAACGAATTCCTTTCTGGAGGAAGAGTTAGAAAGCGAAAAAATCCGAGATCATAACTACCATTTAGTCGGTGATCCTGGGAATTTGACCGACAGATTTTTGACCGATTATGATCATATTAGTAATAATAACCAAACTAGAACTCCTGGTTTGAAAATTAAAACCCCACTGGAACAAAATTATGTTACTCAACCCATTCCCATTATATCTACCACCAACCAACAAAGAGGTTCTTCCAATAATAATAAAAATTTATCTTCGCCTCTTCAAGCGAAAACCCATATATCCTACCATAAAATGGTTCCAGAATCGCCTCCCACAGTGGGTTACCTTAAACATAAAAATAATTGGAATTTAAAAAAATGTCTATATGTCTTATGCACTTTGTTAGCATTTTTAGTCTTTTCATTTATGGTTTATGCTTTTGTTATACGATCACGATATTCCAAAATCATGAAAAGTAAAAATATTCATATAATTTATTTTTCTATAAACAACTGTATTATACATAAATTTGGTTGAAAGATTGTTTCAATAATTTAAGAATAGATTTTAAGTTTTTTTAAAATGTTAGCTTATAAAAAAGGAATTGGAATATAGGTATATTGGAATCAAAATTTTTGTCGGAATTATATTCCAGAACGTTTATAACGTACCAACCTTATGAAATCCCGACGATTAAGCCCTAAAATCTCAAATCAATTTTAAAATTGATTTTTCTATATTAATTAAAGTCCACCCATAATTTCATGATAAAGTCACCCAAGAATTATAGAGTACACATGCTTGAAATACAATTCCCGCAAAATAAAATCTTAAAAATGTGCGTTAAAGATTCCATTATGCACTATACCATTATCCTACGACGTTTAATATATAATCTCAGCAAAAAAACATAAATTTTTTTAAATTTTTTAAATTCTCTTGTTGACATGTATATTTGTTTTATAGTTGACTAGATTAATGTCTTTGAGTAATATAATAACCATTATTAGTAAAAAAAAATATCAGGAAAAGGATAACGAAATATTTATGTTTATATGAATAAAAAATTTCAAGTTTTATATTTTATATATTGGGATGTGGTGGTTAAATTTTGATCTAAGAAATTTTGAGAAAAAAATATATTAATTAAATTAATTTCCAATGTATCTGCAAACCCTTAATTTTTTTTTAATACTACATTTATATGTAAAATTAGAATACATCATTTAATCGAATCGAGTATCATTTTAAGTAATCAGTTATAATCTAACTACAATTATTTATGAGGTGTTATATATTTTTTTTTTTTACAAAAAATTTGAAAGATTTAAATAGGTATCAAAAACTATAAGTATAATGTAATAAATAATTTTAAGAATTTGAATTGACTAAATGCTATCTTGATTATATAGTATATTAATCTCCTTTTATCGTTTTTTATTTTTTTATTTAAAGAAAGGTGTTAATAAAATTTATTAGAAAGTTTTATTACTTAAATAAATAATGAAAGGGAAGGAAGGAAGGAAGGAAGGAAGGAAGGAATGCATTTTATATTTTTGGACAAAACTTGGGCCAGATTTTTTCAAAAAATAACGGTTATCATAATGATTCATTTGATATTCATTTACTGATCACATTTTTATTTCCCCCAATTTACGAAATATGCAAGATTATTTTAAAATCACTAAAGTTTAAAATTCCGGGAAAAAAAAATCTGGGCCGGACTAAAAAATCCTAGTCTATCCAAAAATATTTTGTTTAAAAAAAAATCCTGGTTAGGTTTGAATTGAAAATGAAAAGACCTCTGCAGTTTTCTAATATTTTTACATAATATTCCCTAGTATTATGTAGTAAAATAGATATATTCCTTGTTTCTTCTGTATATTATTTTTATTATTTAATAATTAAATTGCAACTTGGCAATCCTTATTGCGAAAAAGCATACATTACTTGTAATTTGGTATTTAATATTTAATTATGAGAAGTAATTAGTAAATGTAATCAAAATACCTAGTTTTTCAGATTATGATTGTTAATCAATCTTTTATAATTATCCCTAAGCATGATTTATTTGGTATGTTACTATTGCCAATGACAAATATGTTCTATCCTTCCGTTGATGGAATAATATTTTATTTTGTTCTCCGTTTTAAATATATCCTCTTTTTTTTATCTAAGAAGAGCTCATTTAAATAGCGCTGTTACCATAGGCATGGCCAGGATTTTGTAAGGGGGGGGGGTGCTATGGTGGAGTTTTCCCATAAGTTATAACTCTCTAGGTACACTTATTATAGGTTGGATTTGTCCGATTTTTATAGAAATTGTTTGGTTTTTCACTTTTTTTTAAATATAAAAATGTTTTTTTTTTCTAAAAATTTTAAATTATAGTCGTTATTTTAAAAAAATTGTTAACTTATACTAATTTTTCATACATATTTTTGTTTATAATGATATAATGTATATAGGGGGGGTGAGGAGTTTGTAGAGGGACATTTATTAAAATAATATATATAGAATAGGAAAATTTTCAAAGGAGCCTACGTGCTAATGTATTTATTTAAATTTTTGAGGAAGGGGTGGGGAGAGGGATTGACTATCACTCTTAATCTGATTTCTGAATTTTTTTATGAGAAGTTTAATATATGGGATTTTTTTTAAAAAATATGGAATTGGATTTAAATTACGAAAAAGATATAAAACCATATTTTAATAATTTAATGTAAATTTTAAAGGGTTGGTTTTGTTACTTTTTGCTAAACTCTTTTAAATAGGAATAAATTATATGTAATATTTTTTATATATTTTATTTTGCCATATTTTTATTTAACAAGGAAATTCCTTTTTTTTAATAAAAGTAATTATAAGTTTTCCTTTATAAAAATCTATTTATTCACAAAGAATACAAAATATTGTTTATTGATTGCAGAGGTAGCATTTTTATTATCAAGGAAAAACATAATTTAAAATAAATTTTGACAGGATCCAGATTCCTAAAATATGAAAATCTATTTTTATCATCGATTTCGACTAAAATTGAATTGATATACCAGTAATAAAATAGCATCTATGCTACCAATATACCAGTTTTCTTTTTCAAAAATTGATATAACCAGAGCTGTATCGAAATCACTTTCAATTTTAGTCAATGGTTTAGAAATTCATATAAAAAAATTAAAAGCTTGAATAGGCTAATAGTCACTTATATCGGTTAAAAATAAACTATCGGCCAGATGCATCTCTGGATATAAGAATACGAAACCCTCCAGAAGTATGCGGGAGAGTTAGTATTGTGACAAATCATCTATTCCAAAGTCATTTTTAAATCAATGAAAATGGGCTATATTAAATACACAAAAAGATTAACATTCATAAACATAAATTGGTTTATCCTAATATTATAAATATAAAATGAGCGCGATTCTTTATACCCAATTAGAGAAATTCCAATATTATTATAAAAAAGCACTGTCCACCTCCCATTTTTTTAACCTCAAATCAAACCAAATGATGGCTTATTATCGGAATTATTTTACTTGATACGAATAGGAGTTTAAAAAATAATTTACAAATAATTATGTGTTTTAGGCATTCAATAAATGATTTCTTTGCTCACAATTACCTTAAATATTTTCTTAATATTTGAGTGAAAACTTTTTCTTTTTTTTGAGCCTACCAAACTAAAAAAAAAAGACCTCTTTAACGTCTGAATGATAGAACCCGCTACCACTGATTTATTTATTGATTATAAATATGTTACTTTTTTATTTAAATATTACTTTTTAATTTTTTTTTAGAAGTACGAACCGATTCACTGACCTGTTATACACCCGAATGCGTAAAGATAGGTATATACATTTTTTTTAAACAACCTTTATAACAATGTTATTTATTGTTATTTTATGGATTTTATTTTTCGCATAATAAAACTTTTATGATTCCAACATTTTAAGAGTTATGTGTAATATCATATAGTCGTAAAAGTTTACTAGTATTCAAAGTTTAAGTAAAATCTTTAATATTTGAATCATTTATAGTGCGATCTAAAAAATGCAAGACTTGATTTTTCCATAATTTTATTTCTAATCTGCCCTATTCATTTCAAGCAATTTCATCGTGAAATGATAGGGTAGGTAATACTACTTTTGAATTTGAGAAATTCGATTTGTATCAAAAATGGATTCCAGCATGTAAAGAGTAATCACACACTGGGAGTTTCAGACACTTTTGCAGTAAATCTTTGAACAATTCTTTATATATATTAATTTATATATATTTTCATAAATTTAAGAAAAATATTTAAAAGTTTATGGCTTAATTGTCTAAAATTTATGGGGTTTGTAATATTCTACACATACTGGAATACATTTCCAGTCAAATCACATGTTTTAAATATAAGAATCGCCCTTAGTTCATGATTTGAAATTGGAGATCCCCGAATCCTCATGGATTCCATATCTCAATTAAGATGGCGATGAGTCCTAAACGAATAATAAGTTTAAATGTAGAGTACGAGAACCATTTAATATGAAAGCTAAAAAACAATTCTGTTTGAATTTTTTTTGTAAAGAATACATTTCCATTTTTCAGGATATTTTAATAACCCTACCCAAGATTTTTATAAAATTTTGGAATAAATATATATTTTTGAAATACAAAAAGAATCGAGTGTACCAGGAATCTTTGGAAAGTTCTAGAACTATTATTTTTTGTTCAAATATATGTTTTTTATGAATTTTATTATGATAAAATCGTTTAAAAGCCGCGATCCTATTAGAAGGAATCAACGTTAATGCTGACCCATGCGATGATTTTTACGAATTCGCTTGTGGTTCTTGGAACCGATATCATATCATTCCCGAAGATCGGAGTAGTATAAGTACTTTCGAAGTGCTTTCATCAAGATTACAAATATTACTTAAAGGTTTTTTTCCCCCTTTAAATATAAAAATTATATTAGAAAAGGAAATAAAATAAAATAAGAAAGAAAGAAAGAAAGAAAGAAAGAAAGAAAGAAAGAAAGAAAGAAAGAAAGAAAGAAAGAAAGAAAGAAAGAAAGAAAGAAAGAAAGAAAGAAAGAAAGAAAGAAAGAAAGAAAGAAAGAAAGAAAGAAAGAAAGAAAGAAAAGGCGAACGTCAGAATTTTAATAATTATTTACTTATCGCATTTTTTAAAAAGGTTATTTTAAAGGTTAGCATCTCTTAGATAATGCAATATTGATTAAATAATTATTCGTATATTTCATATATAAATGTAAATATTAAAATTGCGCCTTCCTTCTTAAATTTAATAGATAACCTTAATAACTTTAATTAAAAAATTATTCGTTTTTAATATAAAATTTTGTATTACCATTCTTCATTGCCAAAATTTTATCAGAAATTTCAGCAATATACCGTTTTATTTGAAATAAAATAAATTCCTTATTTCGCTCAACTAACAAAAAAAAATTGAATTTTTATTTATTTCCTCCTTCCTCTTATTTTAATATATTCTATATTTTTTTTTATTCTATTCTATTGCATTTTTTCTATTAAATTATCATAAGCTTCCTTTCATTTTTATTTTAATCCCCTCTTACATTATCGCATAATCCTTTTTAAAATATTGCAAATTAGAGTTATTGGAGGAAGGAAGCAATAAGACCGATATGGAAGCCGTCGATAAAGCCAAGCGCATGTACATATCTTGCGTCAATACTAGTTATAAAAAACATAAAAATTAAATTTTGTAATATTTTTTTCATTCGGTAATATTAGAGGAATTTTTGAGATGATCAAATTCATTAAAAGTTATCCATTTCAAATAAAACGATGTCCAATTTCTTAGATTCAATTTTTTAATAAATAGAATTTTTGAGCTTTAGGGGAACAGGAATAAAAGTAAATAAATGGCAAAATTTATAAAATGCTTAGAGGTCGTGCAATATGAGAAAAATATTTTTCAGGTCTGACATCTTGTTTAATATTCTTTTACGGACTGGGTTGAGTCAAAATTTCTTATAAAAAATTTCAAAGAATGCAAATTTATGAATACGAACCTGTCCAACTGGCACAAAAATTTTTATTTTCACTGGCTGAGAAAAGAATTTTACGGGTTGGGCAACTTTACAAAAAATATTACAGAGGAAGCTAAAATATTTTTTTTTAAATTTTTGACCTAATTTATAATCTAAAAGTCTTGCCATTCATTAAAAAAACTTGTTTTTAAAATTTTAAACGTAATTTTGTTATTAAACTTTATTATTAAGTATTATTAAAAGAATATGGTTGATTAAAAGAATATTCTGGTTTACTTGAAAATTATCACATGAAACATGAAATTTATCAGATCAACTTGAATTTTATCAAATATTTTTCAGGTTAGATATAGATACATTGCTAAGTAAAACGCTACAAATTAATATATAGTTAACTACTAAATATAAATAGATTCCCATATTATATAAAATATTTATTATTTTGAATAGCTCAAGGTGATTTGATAGGGGATACTCCTGTGAAAAACACATTGAATAGTATGGGCGGTTGGCCCATACTTAACACTTCTTGGGTCCCTCACCAGAATTTTAGTATGGAAATTCTGCTAGCTCAATTGTTTTTGTATAATACACCTGCCTACTTAGAAATTTTGGTAGGGCCCGACGATAAAAATTCTTCGCTTAACATTCTGCAGGTTAGCAAAGTTCATTGAATTGATCAATAAAATATTAAATATATTTACCTTTATTATGGAACTCTGTTGAATGATTTTATTTATTTGAATGTAGCTGGTTCCGATTTTTTTTGTTTTTATGTTAAAAAGTTCTTTCAATATTATTTACAGAATTTGGATAGGATTTTAAAATATGAAATATTCTAGGATATTAACTTATAGATGGACTTTTATAATATCAGAAGCTGATTATGAAATAGAAATAAAGTTATCAGGTAAATAAGATTAATTTATATAGCAGCGAATCTAAAAAGATATTTAATTTATATTGAGCTAGTTCCTCTTTAGAGATTTTATAAGCAACAATATTTATATTATATTTGTTTTATTTTAGTTAGATCAAAACACTCTAGTGCTACCAAGTAGAGAATACTACCTTAACCCAGAGAGCAACATCGCCATTCGAGCCTACAAAAGGCTAGTTTACACTATAGCACTTTTGATGGGTGCGAGTGGCTCCAATGTTCAACAAGAGGCTGACGATATAGTTAATCTAGAGATTGAAATCGCCTTAGTATATATATATATATAATAAAATTTATGACAATTTGGAATTTTTTTTTGCTTTATAAAAATTTTTTATAACTACTTCGCTTGTGTATTCTTCATTTTGATTGAGAATTGAGTTCAGATTTATATTCATATTTTTTAGGGATCTCCTTCATCAATTTTTTTTATTATTCGAAAAATGCCCCAAAATAATAATATTAATAAAATAAATGTATAAAATCTGAAATTTTTAAATATATTTTAACTTGTAAAAATGTATTTGCATTATTTAATTCATATTAATAAGTGAATCCTATTTTTAAAAATATGACTAGCATTATCTGTTATTTTATGATTTTATTTACAAGTAAATTAAGAATTTTTAAAGGGCCAATTCATTATTACCTTATGTCTTAAAAGTCTTAACACGGCAGTGGACCCCAATGCAGGTAAAGTTTAAAATGGAAATTTATTTACAGATTTGAAATGATAGGTTACACGTTTGGAAAAATTACGTTATGGGTTTGAAAAGATACTTTAAAATATAAAATAGTAAAATTGAAGGTGATTACAAAAAAATGTTAAAACCCAAGTCCCCGTTGAATCTAATAAACAAAATTTTTTCATTTTTATTTTAAATTTGATGGGGGATAATATTTAATGAATATTAAAATATATCAATAGGTTTATGTTTAAGATTAAGATTTGGCCTCATTTTGCATTTTATATTATTAAAGGTCTGCAGAGAGTGAATTATTTAGCTCAACCCGGATTTTAAAAATAATTGCATCTTTAACCCCGGCTGTATTTTTTATTTAAATATTTATTTTTGTCGTTATAAAAATATATCGTTTGTATTGGATTATCAAAGTTATCTATTATATTTTAGATATATATATATTTATTTATAATAATCTACTGAAAAATGGCAAAATGGGTAATGTATTTCGAATAAGATGATATAATTTTAATATGGAATAATGATGAAAAATATCTACGTATTAGACAAATTAATCAAAAAATAAAATTTTTGTAGGAATTATCGACATTTGAAATAGAAATGTAACAGCTAGTAACCCCCAAGGAATATACTCGAGTTAAAGTATTTTTAGAACTGTTGAATTATAAAAACATAAATACCTTGCACTCTATAATAAACCCGTTGCACTGATTCACAGGTTCAAAAATGATGAGTATATTTGAAAAAGCAATCAAGATGCTTGTCATCGAGTACGAGTATTCTGCCAACAAAGGAAAGAGAATGTATTAATTGACTATGGAACACCCATAAATATAAATAGAGATTCAGAGATAACTTCTCGCCTAAAGCTGAACTTGAGAAAGACAGATTCGTTATCATTTTTAGTGGTCGGGGGGTAATATCGAACACTTTTCAATAAAAAATCATTAATATTATACATCACCAGCAACCAGTTATTAATGTAATAAAGTCTATAAATTATTATTGTGTCATTATCAGCATTACAACAATATTACAAAGTCCATAACTCTATATTATGCCTGGTGGCCAAAAATTTATGAAAATATCGAAGTGTTCATTAAAACAATGCGGGCTGTCAACCCAATAAGGTAAGAATTGCGAGGGTATTATTGATATGAACTGAAGATCCCTGGAAACGTATCCCTTTAGATTTCGAAGCCCCTAATAATTTGCATTGCTACTAAAAAGTATGGTTCATGCCACTATACTGTAATTATAACATTTGGTTTTCACATTATAAGATTACCCAACAAATGGTATCGCATGACGAACCGCAATGGAGGAGTTGCATCAATTTTGTGAAAGTTACAATGTTAGACATATACAGCTAAACCTTCTCTTTGCCACCTAAAAACTAACAATCTAGCCTAAAGGGAAATCTACGAAATAAAATCAACGATATTTTGTAAATTTCAAATATTCCAAAGAGCCAGAGGATTGTTTGATTGAAGTCTTAACAGCTGATCGCGTTATGGAACATCCAGTCATATTTGGTGACAGATGAACAGTGTAAGTCGAGATCGGCAAATCAGGTAATGGAGTTCGAAATTACAAAAAATGAAATTTGATATGATGAAGGTGCTATCAAGAGTTTAACAAAATGCAACTGGTCTGAGTATGTAAAGAACCAAACCTGGTTGGATAGAAGGTGCGATGATATAAATATGGGGAGAACTATCCTAAAAAATGGATAAAGATGATAGAAAAATTAATAAACATGATGAGATCAGTTAAGGGAGCAGGATTGAAAAGTACGACATTATAATAGGCTACGTCAACCGCCGAGATTAATAGAAAAAAAATTAATCTTAAAAGAAAGTGGGACAATTTATTTTTAAGCCCAGTTTCATCATTTTACGGCAGGACTCGGATTTTTAAAATTTCATTATTTAAGGAAATTACAGTAAATAAATTGTAAATCGAATTTTTTGATTAGATATCTTGGAATGGCCAGGTCTGCAGTTCTTTGATTTATATTTTATTTTGTTTATTATCAGCCATCTTTTTGAGATTTGATATTAATTTTATTACGAAATGTTCTAGTGATTTTACATGTATGATTTCTAGAGATAAAAAAAACATTTTTCATTAAAAACAGATAAATTTTTTATTACGTTTTTTTGCTCTTTTTTTTTGTTTGAAAAATAAAATTGGTTTTTTACATCCCTAATGACACTAATTCTTAAAATTCAACTAAAATGTTCTATATCTAATTCTTTATCAAAATAATATTAAACATAATTAAAATAAGAGTAGATATGTAATTATAATTATTATACAATGGCCCCAGTTATTAATCTATATTAGGTTTGCTAAAAGTTTCATTATAAATGTATTTCCGTTCCATAAGTTCGACCTCATTCTATAAATTACTTTAGTTAAGTTTCAAAACACATAAATAATATATATAATACAACTCACTCAAACTTTTTTTGAAAATTAATAAATTTTTCTAATTGGTTAATTTTAAATCTAAAAATCGGAAATTATTTATTTTAACAATATTTATTGATTCTATACAAATCCTAATTTGCTTCAAAAAATAATATTTCGGTTATAAATAAATTCTTGAGAATTATCTAAATTGTATTAAAAAGCTTCATTCATTTAAACTTTTTTTAAACATTTTTTGAAATTTTTATTTTTTTTATTTTTTTGAACGAGGCATCTGTCCCTTCAGCAGATAGGCACGACGCGAGCGCTATATATCATAAAATGTCCCTGAAGAAGTTATCAGAAATAGTTCCCGAAGTAATATATATATATATATATCATTTTCTGTTTTAAAAAAAAAAATGTTGTAACTCAATTAAATCCCGAAATCTAAATCTAATAAATGGATAAAAATAAAGGATCTAAAATTAGCATATGAATACCGCGCGAAAAATCAAAATAAAAGATAACAGATAAAAAGTTACTTGCCCCTTCATTTCATCTACTAATAAGTCACTAAATATCTGATATAATAAGAGGTTGTTTCCATTTTCCCTTATATTTGCTTAAGTAATTTAATGCACATTTTTACCAATTTCCGATGCTTTTTGTAATTAACGATGCATTTTTAAATTGATATAGCATTAAATTATTTAAATAAAGAAGAATTCATTACATTTGATGTTAAAATAAATAAATAACCAAGTATTTTGCAATGCTTTATGATTCAAATCTATATAGATGCAAAAAAATTTCTTCACTTTTTGCATGATCATAGATCTGGTTGGATAAATCAGAGCACAATAATTCCCAGTTTTTTTATAATTCTTAATATGGCTTACGATTACACGAATAAAAGCATCATGATGATTTTTGATAAATAAACTCTCAAAACATTTTTAAATTTTAAAGATGATTAAATAATGTTTTAAATTGTTTATAACTGAAGATAATTTATGAGAAAAAAATTTAAACATGAATTTTGGCATAGATGTCCGATTCTTTGAGCCATTTATAACCAAAATCTTCAGGCTGGCGTAATTATTGAGTTGCCGTTTTTAAAAATCGGATCAAAATAGGCCGTATAACAACACTAGATAAAATAATAAATATCATTTTTTTTATTTAAGTTGTAACTTCAGATTTATTTTTTTAAAAAAATATCCTTTTGATAAGGGTAAAATATGATAATCGACCAGCTTGTTGGGGTTAAGAAATTAAAATATCTTCTGGGGTAGCGCTAAAAAACAAATTTCATTTTATTTGAAAATTAATTGCTTCTTAAGTTTATATATTTAAAATTTGCACAATAATATTAGAATTTTTTTTATTATAGATTGAATAATTATTCCCTCCTTATTTTTTTATTTCCAATAAGAATATTCTTCTTTTATCACTAAAGTTCTATTCAATATTTTTTTATAAAAAAATGTTGTTAAGTTTGATTGGATGAAATTTATTCACTATTTCCCCAACGATTTCTTGATAACCGAAGACGAAAAGGTCGTAGTGTATTCCGAAACCTTTTTGAAAGTAATGGGCAAACTCTTTCAAGTTACTCCTGTAAGGTAAGTCAATTTAGACTGAAATGTTTTAATATTTTATTTCTTTCACAATTAACCCACTTTTATTAAAACGTGTTATAATAAATAAACAGTTTCTTTCTTTTTTTCTTTTTCTTTCTTTCTCGAATAACCCATACAGAAATATCAAAATATATATAACTCATGTTTTGGTGAAATCTAAACATATTAGTTAAATAAAAAATTTTAAATCAGGAAACGTCGCTGGACTTTTCAGTTTTCAGGGGCTCAATGGGTAATCATACTCTAAAAAAAGCCACCATTTGGTTTTATTTTTTTGCTTCTATTTTCAAAGAGGGCTCTCTAAAATTTTTACTAGACTCAAACCCGCGCCTCCCTAGTGACACCAATGGATAAAACAAATTTAAAAATACTTAAATTTAAATACTTTTGGAACGCAAGCCTAGGAAACATTAGACTTTTTCCCATATCTAATAAATTTATCTCAACTAGCCCATATCAGGCTTTGGCCTAAATGTGAAATTCTTTAATTTAAGCTAAATTAAATAACTTTACTGTATTATTTACCGATTCCGGTTGTATATGATATAAATTAACAAGGAAATTATCATTATCATGATTATATTTTTAAAAAAAAATCCTGTCAAAAATTTGGTAAAATGTTATATGCCTTTAATTAATTTTTTAGAAAAAAAAGACATGTTATATAACAGTTTATTGATTTTGTAGTTAATCAATAAATTGGTTTTAAAAAAGATTTGGAACAGAATAATAAATAACCTATCATAATCAATTAATTTTCTCTCACTTACCAACCTCCTTTTTTCTCATATTTAAATATTAAAACTAAACAGTTATATTTATAAAACTCAATATTATTCAGTTAATAATTTTATCAAAATTTTTAAACTAGGTTAATGAATTAATTTGATCATTTGAACAAACACTATATTATTTTTTAAATAAAACAAAAAAAGAAAAAAATTAAATTTTTTAGCAATTTTCAAATAGGGAAAAACTTGCAATAAATATAGACTATCATTTATGGTATATAAAAAAATATTTATAACGTAAGTGATTACATAATCTAATCTTGCTCCTAAATCAATCCCATCCCAATTACCAAAACTAAAAAAAATAAGGATTTTTTAATTTATAGCTAATATTAATATCATATTTTGGGTTAAATTTTAGAAAAGTAATCCAAACGAGATATTTTTTAAAATTATATGAATAACCTAATTTATATATTATTTTTATTCACCCATTATGTTGACGCAAGGCGTCTAGTTAATTATGCTTTGTGGAGGCACATAAACTCCTACCTGCCCCATCTGCCTCGAGGATACATAGACGCCTTTTTCGCGTTCCGTAAGGTAATATATGGAGTATCAGCACCCGTTATCCGCTGGCAACAATGCGTCGAATACGTGGCTGATCATATGGCCATGCCTGTAGGTGCTATGTTTGTCGGCAAGCATTTCAGGAAAGGAAGCAAAGAAACGGTAAAACAAAGAATATTTGTATTTCCTCTTATTTAGTAAGAAAAATTTAATAAACTATTTAAATTTTAACTTACCTTTCAGTTTCAAATGATTTATTCTATTAAAAACGTCATTAAAAAAATAAGGCTCTGGAAATGATTCACGATATTAGAGAGGCTTTTAACGAGCTACTAGAAACAAATACATGGATGGATGATGAAACTAGGAAAGTCGCGGAAGAAAAAGTAAAATATACATTTTTAATAAATTCCCAAATTAAAAAAAATGCTTATTAGTATATTACACCTTCAAATATTAAGAATTTAATTTACATATCGTTGGTATAGGATTTCAGTATTCTCTATCCACTTTTTGGATAGAAGAGTTTTCAAGTTAATTAAACTTGTTTTTTATTTAGGAATGAATTACGTTCAGCTTTTTAGGACCTTTAGTAAATTTTATCGAAGATTTTTTTAAAAATTAATATTATATATACTTTTCAACTATAAAATTATTTAACTACTATTTTTCTAGTAAGCATTGGACTACAATCTTCATATATGAAGAAAGCATTTGTAATTATTCAAATAAGATGAAAATTATCAAATAAAGTTAAAATTTTTATCGCCTTTATTGATATTTCTAATAATGATTAAATAGTTAGAAACAGAATTTTTAATTTTTCAACTCTAAAAATCTTAAATTTAATATATAGTACACTATTCAATAAAGAGAGTTTATATATATTTAAGCCATTTCTTTTCAAATAAACTTATTTACTTCCGTGCGACAATTTGCAAAAATAAACATTGAAAAGAATAATATTTGACAAATTATATACTGATTATGTTAATACATCGATAATAGCTAGTGTTTATAAAGATGTCTTTGTTTCTAACATTATCGATGATGACTGTAACTGCATAGCTTCAATTATAGTAATTTTTAGATATGATCTCTTGGTAGAAAAACTGTAATTACGGCTGTAGAGTGGGGCATTTTTTTGTATACCTCTTCTTTATGAGTTTGTATTTGTGCAAACACCTTGTGTTGTATGGTAGTTGGTATACTCTAATTAATTTTAAATTTGATACCATAAAGTGATATCTTTTCCCTAAATTGCACCTAAGAATCCAATTCTTAATATTTTTCAAAGTATTATTCTTATTAGGGTTCCTGAAATCCTATAAAAAGTGGTTCTAGTTTAAATCGCGGTTGTGAGAGTTTTGGATTCTGATTACAATTCCAAACTCTGAAAATTTCTAAAAATTACAACACAAAAAAAATAATTTTAAAAAGAATTACTCGAACAATATAACATCATTATATTACATCTATTTTTTTAAAATATTCATTAGGCCAATTCTATGAACGAACTAATAGGGTACCCTGACACTATTTATAATGACGAAGAACTAAAAAAGGAATTTGAAGAAGTAAAAAAATGCTAATATTATATGATTATATTTTAACCTTAATATACCTAATAGAATAGAATCCTCGAATCGCACCATAACATTTTATCTAGCCTTTATTCTATTCGTTTCTTATAATTACCCTTTTATGACAGTTATAATTCTATATGCTATAGTTTGAAATAAAAACGCTATAATTTTCTAATATATCCATTCTCCTGTTTACCTTTACTTACATTCTTTTTTCAAAAGTAAAGGAAACATAAAGTCTTCCTAAACGCAGTGTAGATACATTTTAAACTTGTATTTCAAATTTTTAAATAATATTATTTAAATAGTGTAAAACAGAGATCCATGCCATCCTCAATTTTTAAGCTAGAAGGTGTCCTAAGAACGGATGCCTTGGGCGGGACGCGTTCACCACCATCGTCCCCATGCTAACTTTCCCAACCCAATAGTTTTGTAATGGAAATATATTTTTTTGACTTTTTTTGCCCAGAAATTTGAGGTCATGATTTCATGAACTTTGCTTTTGAAATTGTTTTAAAGATGTGCAACCAGAAAAGAACTTTTCAAATGTATAAAATACATGCCCTAAAAAGTATTTAGATACAAATACATGTAATAAAAATGTATCTAGATAGAAATACAATTTTTCATGATAATTTTTTATTATAATCAAATCTATTGTTAATACTCAGTAAAAATTTTATTTTATTTTGTATTTTATTTATATATACCTATATACAAAATATATAATTAACTAATTAAAAAATGTTATTGTTAGCTTTTAATAATAAAATATTCTCCAAGTTTTTGTCAGCAGAATCCCTGTTTATCTCACATTTTTAACTAATATAAAAAGCCTTTCAACTGGTGGGCTTGAGAGATGAATAACGCTTTTATATGTACTAGTATAATATTGAATTAAAGTAAAATCACGACACTAATTTTAATAATTATTCAAATTTTCATGGGTGTCAAAATTTGTATCCTTACCCAGATCCCTTGATCTTCTTGGGAGGTGTTAAAAAAAATATAATATTAAATCTTTCCATTTTTTCTCCGATTCTTTAATATCATTTTAATAGAAATTTACATACTATCTACCTACCCCTTCTCCCCTCTCCCCCATGATTATTTAAATATATGTATTACAAATAATAATAAAATTAAACAAAGGCATTCAATGTCAATCCTTAATCTTGGTGAAATTAAGTACAAGTATAAATCGATAGCTGTAAAGACAATATCACAAAATATAAATTGAACAAGACGGATTTTAGGAATATAAAATGGGAAGAAATAACGAAGACGCTTACTACCTAAAGGAAAGCTAAAATAGGGGAAAAAATTATAACTTACATTATCTAGCTTCTGGTAGTTTTGGTGAAGACTTAGTCTAAATTAGATTAAGAAACACAGCTTTTTAAAATATTTAAAAGTTGACATAACTTTTTATGAGGTGGGTGACCGTGTTATAGAATACCCCTATGAGAGTTTAACTTCATGATCACGAGGGGTAGGGGTAGACAGCACTGGTAGGCATCTCAAAGACGCTATTCAGGGATTAGAAGGTTTTTCACCAAGGACCAAGACGCTTCCGTTCCATCCTTTATACTTTTTAACTTTTATGTGAATCTTCAAATATGATTAAATTTAAAATGATATTTGCCAGATTTGAAATAATACAGTTCAAGTTTAGAATGATACTTTACAAGGTAAAATACTTTAATAAAGATATTATATATCATTTTATACTATTCGATTCATAGTAATGTTTTATTGTATGTTTTTCCCCCACTCAAGCGTTTCAAGTGGCACCAAGAAATATATTTGAGCTAGAAATCGCCTGGTCAACCGGCCCTTTAATATTTTTAAAAAGGTTTTTCGGCTAGGCCCTTAAAATATTTTGATGGAAGTCGCTCGGCATAATTTTTTGTGATAGAAAATATCACAGATTTAAAATAAAAACTCCAAATTTTGGGCCAGCCAGAAATACTTTGCACAAATTGACCGTCATTTTATTTAAAGTTCACTACACAAGTCTGAATTTTGCATTCGGGCGTCATGCAGATCTTTATTGGGTTGGCCATAAATAACAGAGCTTCATTGCTAATTAATATAATAATTATCTTTAAATTAAATTCAAAACTCTGATAAGGAAACAAACAATTACCATATTACACAATGTACATTATTATCTGACATTTTTATAATAATGCATAATATTAATTTATTTTTTTTAATTAATCCTCACAAGATCAACACCAAAGGCAATTTTCTTAATAATGTTATAGCCATAGGAATGTATGAATTCACCAAAAATTTTGCCGAATTAAGGAAACCAGTCATACGAAACAGGTTATATATCTACAGCATATATAATAATAATAAAAATATGGTAGATACGCATAGATATTTATTTATGTAATATATAACAGGATAATATAAAATTTTCTATTTTGAAATTTAGATCCATAAATTTTTTGGTTAGTAGCGATTTTATTTGCGATTTTCTAATCAATAGCTAATTAATGAGCACCTATTTTCCAAATCTTTCCGCGAGTCATTAGAGACCGGAAGAATGAACAAATTTGAAAATAGATAAAGTTTTTTTAAAATTATTTTAAATATAATATTATAATAATAGCAAATGTTTTTTAAAAACAAGTTTTTTATATACGTTAAAAAAAATTTTCTGATGTCCTAAAAACTTCTTTTATTTTTTTAAAAATGTTTTATATATTTAATTTAATTTTAAAAATAATGTTGCACAAAAAAATAAGATAATCCTCGTTTTTTTTGAGGCAGAACATTACATAATATAGATGCACTTTAGAATAAATTTCAAAATCTATACACTATTCTGGATTTAAATGGAACCGATCCAAAAAGAGACATTTTATTTCTAAAAAGGTAAAGTTTAGCCGGCTAATCTTAAGAGCTTCAATTTTTTTTATATTTCATCTCTCGTAAATTTTAAAAAAACTTTAAAAAAATATAAACATGAATCTAATTTTAAAATAATTACAATAATAAATAAATTTTAAAAAAAACAGAGGATACGCCGATTATACCATTGGCGTCAGAATGGGAGGGATTGCTCAGCGATCCTAAATTTAAATGAAGTAACTTTATAAAAATACGAAATGGTCAGAGCGACGCTTCTTGACTGCACTTAATCTTTCCTACACCAAATTATAACAATTATAATAATTTTATAATGTTAATTTATATTCAAATGTTTACTTGTCCATTAAAAATAATTTTCATAATAAATATTTTCGAACCTATAAAAGTATCTCATATTATTTGAGTAAATTCTTTCAAATATATAAAGAATATATATCATACAATTAATTATACTAATTTTACTCATAATTATTCTTTATTTTTTATATTAAGTTGGTCGACTGGTCCCGCCGTTGTCAATGCTTTTTATAGCCCAAACAAGAACAATATTGGTAAAAAATCTCTTTCTCTCAATATGCCAAAAAAGATTTAATGTGTATTATACAACCAAAATGATTTCCATATTCTAACATTAAAGTCTTAGGTCGTGTCCTATATTTACTACTAAATTGGCGAGTCATTTATTCAATGCATTTGAAAAGTGTCCATACATAGGAGTCAGTTGTAGCGCCATTTTATGGTTTGCACGTCGATTAAATGCATAAATGTGCATTCATATGTGATAAAGACATTAGTCGGAGTGCAAATCACAAAACGGCTTTATAGCTAACTCCTAAGTATGGACACTTTTAATGAATTAATCGTCAATCTAATAGTATATATATATCATTGGTTCTGACTGGCCTTATTTCTAAACCGAAATCTGTTTAACCATCCATACAGCTCCCCCATAAACAGAATAATAAGAAAGAGGCTATTTAATCTAGTATAGGGGAGACCGGGGTACATTGAGTACAGGGGAACGTTAGGACATTCTAATAATTTGAGCTATTATTTTATAAGACTGGAAATTTGAGCCTAACATAGATAATTTTGTCATACATGATTGGCTAAAAAAGATTTAAAAAATATTTAGTATTTTAATTTTTACAGAAGAAAATGTGTTTTGGTATACCAAAAGTAATAAAAAATATTTGCAAACTTTATCGTTTATATTTATAAATAAAACTTCAAAAATCATAATAAATAGATTTTAGGAAAGCCTAAACCCTCTTTTCCAATCTGGCAAACTTTCAGAATCAATAAACATGAATTAATATGATTTTGGATGATATTTATAAAGTTAGTGGGCTCGGTCATAGTTGGTCATAGTTGGTCATAGTATAGTTGGGACACGCCATTTTAGCTCATTTTATAAACAATTTTATAATTTTATTATTAATTTAGTATTGTGAATAATAAATAATTAAATACTTATCTTTCACTATGTTTATGAATAAAAAAAAAAATTTTTTACATTTTTTTCTTTACAATTTTTTTTCGCCAAAATAAATTTCCTAAATTTTGCTAAAATTTTTTTTATATAGTTATTGATTATGAATTATAATATTATCAATAAAATCATATGTGTCATAGACTCTAGTCTTACTGGATTACTGATTTAAAATTTTTAAATTTATTTAGACCTCTATACGAGTGTCCCAACTATCACATATGTGTGTCCCAACGTACACAGAGTCTGTCATAGTTGGGACAAAAAAAATTTTTTTTTTAAATTCAATTTTCTAAAAAAATATAATCTTCATAAAATATATATTAATTATTTCAAATAGCCTATACTTTTGGGATTCAGAAGATATTTTAATTATTCAGATTAGTCTACTAATATTAAAATTATTAAAGTTTGAACGAAAAGTGTCCCAACCATCCCCGGTCTCCCCTACACTTAAAACCAAACAGAATATGATGTTCTAGTTCAAAATTTGAATAAGCTGGTTTAAAAGAATTATGACGAGTCAAGGACACTGCCTTAATGCTATTTAATACAGTTGGCAAAACTGAAAATTTAAGATTCTATAATTTGGATAAAAGAGCTTATATAATCTAAAAAATTCTGTAAATAAAACCCTTAACAAATTTTGGATTGTCCATAATTTATTGGGTCGCTAATTCATTTGTATAGAATGATCAGAGGGTTAAAAAATTCCCGGGAATTTTTATTACGGTAACTTGGGAATTTTGGGAATACCAGAAATTTATGGGAATTAACGATATTATTGTAACCATAATATTAAATTTTTATGTTATGCTTTATTCTATTCAATTAACAAAAGATAAATTATAATGCAAAGGATAATAAATATAATAAGAACATACATTAAATGTTCATATAATACATTATCAAAACTGATTTATACTATCTTCAACCTTTCCAACATCATTATCATCTGAATCTTATTTCAACTTCTGATGAACTATTTTCTTCCAAAAATCTAATATTTCTAGATTGAATATTTGAGAATAATTGCTGATTTATTACGTATAAATTATGCCAAGTTGATAAAATTTCTATCTTTATTTCCTAACTTAATTCATAGAATACTTTCGGCAATTGTAGATAATGATTAGGTTGTACCGACCCCTTTCCACCATGTTATTGGAGTAAGATATCTCATTCCATCCCAAATTCCAGAGTTTTTATCAAAACCGTCTTTGGCTTGATATACGTCTAAATTTCCAATAATCAAAACAACATCTAAATTTATCAGAAAAATACTTTATTATTGAGATCCCATATTTCCCATAAATCTTGGCTCAAATAGATTTACAGAAGAGGGTTTCTTTGCAACAGGATTCTTTTCTCTTTTGAATACATAATTTTCTTTAACTTTTCTAAATTTTGCATATTAATTATCAACAGATTTTTAATAAAGTGTGGCTTTGTCAGATTCAAGTATATTTCATAAACTTTTTAGTGTAATTAAATCATATCTAGGTATAAGTTATCTATTTTGAGAAAAGTTGTATTGTCAAATATAATATATTTTTTTTTAGGCTTAGGAAACAAAAACTATTAAATATGAGCTACGATAATATTTTGAATGAATGTATCAAAGCTATTCATCGATTTTTATAAGAAAAAGAATCTAACTTTTTTAAATGATTTTTACAAATATTTAAAAGATTTGAGAATATTCATATATTTTATTAGTATATTTTATTGTTTGTTCATTGGGGGGGGGGGGGGGGGGTCGAGTTTGGGTTTCGGAACCATGGCATTGATTAATACAAAACTTTTGAGGGAAAAGGCAGAACGAAATTAAAATCAAACGAAAAAGGAAAAGGAAAGGGAAAAGGTAATGCGAAATATAATAAGGTCATTCCTAACTCATTTTTTTATAAAAATATAATATCATAAATAATTTTTTATTTATTTAGTGATACCTGCCGGAATATTGCAACCACTGTTCTATAGCGAAACCTTTCCCAAGTTTTATTTTTATTTCTTCTCAAATATGCGAAATTAAATTGATATTTATAATGGATATTATTAGATGAAAAATTTGTGACTTTTATAATCTCGAACTCGAGTAAGGTATAAAAATTGAAGCGTTTTTGGGTTATGTAATATATTCTATCCACCAAAATTGGATTCATTGTTTTCTATTTTAGTTTTATGAAATAGGCTAATTTTTATATTATTTTTAAAAGAAAGTCTATTTTTTTATGTCATTGGTTGGAAAATATTTATGTCATAATATAAGTAAAAATTAGCCTATTTTTTGAGCATTAACAATAATCTCAAAATGGTTTGCCATTCATGACCGATTTTAAAAATTATATATATAATATAAGTAGACATTATTATTTGCTTAAAATATCTTAAACAGATCGTTAAATTACGGCGGAATAGGTGTCGTTATAGGCCACGAAATAACTCATGGATTTGACGAAAAAGGTTAATTCATTATATTTTTATAAGTAAACTAATTTAACACAAGTTCTTATAAATAATATTAAATCTATCTATAACTCTTAAACCAAATACAACGATAACGCCATATTTAAACTTGTGAAACAAACTTAAATTAAAGAAAGAAAAAAGAAAGTTTAGAATTAATTATGAATTTATATTTTCATATTATTTTTTGTAACGCAAAACTTTTCTGGAAATTTTCTTGGAATCAAGGTTTGCCATAATTTACTTATCCATTCCCGAAGCGTGTTTGGAACTTTCCATTCTATGCCCCTTAATATACAATTAAATACTAAACATTGATAAAATTTTCATAATTAATGCTTTCTGTCGCTTTTATCATAAAGTTAAATTTTGGGGCTAATAATTTTTCCCTTTACACAATCACACAACATTGGCACAGATTTGAGAATTAGTTCCAAATTTTCGGCCAGCTTTAATAGTGATGATATAGTTATATATATTTTAAAAAGCTAAATAGATAAATAGCCACCGGTAAATCAAAAATACTTAATTAAAATTTTTCAGAAGCGTGACCCGGCCAGGCCAGGAGAATAGAAATTTGGGGGCGAAGACTCCCAAAAAAATTTATAACCAACCTCCACCCCCTTCCTTTTTGGATAAATCCTGTACCACCGAGTATTTCCCAAAAAACAAGTTTATCACTTAACTAGATAAGGCCCAATCATATCCCATATCTTGACTTAAGTCTGGCCAAATCGAACAAAAATTATATACCATACAAAGTTGGGCAGGTCTTTCGGAATAAGAATCCAACAGATTCTCTATAAAAAATGGATCTTAGATACAGATACTAGTATTTTATTCAAAAGATACTTGTATCTTTTCTAAATGAGAGTATCTTAAATACAAGATACTTTTTATAAAATTATCATTACCAATTAAATAAAATAGATTTATAAATACAATTTTTATTATTTTTTAGTTTTTACTGAAGAACATAACATACTTATATAATAAGAATGAATATTTACAATAATTAATAAAAATTTTAATGAAAAGTTAACTATGATCAGGCATTTTAATATTCGTTTTAGCTCTCTCATAGCATAGACAGGGAAGGGAGACTATTATTTTTAATGGGAATTGAATTATTAATTTGCAAATATTTGAAATATTAAGATAATCAATTTTTACAATAATTTATCATTAAGCCTTTGCCGTTTCGGCCTCTTTATCATTGTACCATAACTAAATAACCTTTTAACTGGAGCTGGTTAAGATATTGCAGTATTATACTTTTAAAAAATTTGCTTATGAAAGGATAATAATTAAGTATTTCTAATGTATTTCGACGGTTTATATCATTTAAAACCTCCAGCTCAATGTTATTTGTATTATTGAGTAGGCAACATTTGTTACATCAAAAAAACATTATTTTCTTTATTAGATGTTAAATCTATTGGTGTTATTGTTTGGACTTGATTATATACTACTTGCACTATGTTAGGGCTTCTTTTAATAATAGATTTGGAAAGTATTTTTTTTACTATCAAAGTCAATTCATAAGTTCTAAATTATAGATGTGATAATGGCCCAAAAAGCCTCATTTTATTCATCATCATAGGAAAATATTTTCTCAAATCTTCTGCCCATACCATTTTGGATAGCTTTTAATAAAGGTAGACTGTTAACTAAAATTTTAAGTTTGACAAATACTATGGGCACTAATACTTCATAAAATGTACTACTCTGCCCTTGTAGTTTATCTAATGCAATTGCTACTGGGCTTAAAACCTTCTAATATTCTTCAATATAGACAACATCCGGTTATTTAAAAATAGAGCAATCAATTGTTTCATATAATAAATTTAAATGTGATTTTATTTTAACAGTAAAGTCATAATATCGTATAAGCGATTTCACCAGATTACACATGGAACTTTTGGCTGATTACCACCTGTTACCTCCCTTATCTTTTCAGAAGATTTGGTGCATTCCATAATTTTATACATTCTCCCATTACACCATAATAAGTCCTTCCAAGATTCCTTGAGTTTGATATTGCTTGGTGGCAATTAAGGATAAAGTATGGCAGGCCACCTGATATGTCTGCGTAATCTTATCTTGTTTATTTTATCGTGTTTATTTTATCGAAAGATAAAAAAAAAAATTATGTATTAACCATCATTGATTTATTAAATTTTAATATGGAATCATCATTCTCAAAATCATTGTCAAGATCATTTAATTTTGCATCATATTCAGTAAGACTTGACAAAATTGGATGCATTATCTATAAAAGTAGCAATTAGTTTATCAGAAATCCCATACCCTCTATAGAATTCTTCCAATAGCTATGCAATTTTAAATAAATGTGTTCCAGGCATTCTTTTACATGCCAAGGCTCTTGATTGCAAGTGTTTCTCGTTTGTAAAAATAATAAAAAAAAAATATTTTACCCAGTGAGGGTTATTCTAATAAAACTACGGGTTTTTGTAGACCACAAATCTGCAGTGGTGCAGATAGATGATTGAGCCTTTTACTTTTTAAAGTATCTCTTTGATTCTCAAAAATTTTCTCTATTCTTACAAAGACCTCCTTTAAAATTTTTTAAATGATCCAACATTGCTAAGAATATCTATAATCTCATATCAATATATATAATTATATAACTTTCCATATTTGTAATAAATTCATGCTCAACTAGGCTCAAAGGGTTTAAACCCTTGGCAATAAATGCACATATCAACTTATCAATTTTATTTTATGTAATAGTTTTATTTTATTAATAGAATTAAATCATCTTTTTATTGTGGGGAGTTTGCTGGTTTTCCTCTGCTCTTTTATTTATAACTTATATTGGGTATAAATGTCTAAATGGTATCTCTAATTTAAAAAATATATATAAATATATTATAAAATTATCATATAAATAAAATATTTTAATATGTATAAGAAAATTTTAAATGAGTTTGTTGAACCATTTATCATTTATTTTGTTTAGACAGGTTTGACATTCATCATGTATTCATTGTCTTTTTGACTTGAATTATTTTCAAAAAATTCCCATCTAAAACTTTTATTTTGATTCAGGAGTGTCCATAATTTCATTTTCACCCTTCTTCTTAACTACCATGAATGTTAATCATTCTACAAATTAAAAAATATTATATAAAATTGGTAATGATATTCTATCGAGTTACATTTATATGTAAAATATATTCTTTACTTATTTCGTTTTGGTGTTATCTTTTATCTATCTATCTTAATGTGAGTTATAAATTTTCCAGCTAATTTTGATTGTCAATATATTTAAAATATGGCGAAAAAAAATTAAGGAAATTAATTCAAAATTACAAGGAGAAAATAAGATTATATTCCGTGATATATAAATTTTAAAAACATGAATATTAAAAAGAATCTATATTTTTATTTTTTTTTCAGGAAAATAAAAAGATACAAGATTCTTCTGAAAATAAAGGATCTTAGATACAGATACTAGTATCTTATTAAAAATATCAAAAAGATACCGAGTACTAGATATAAAAGGATCGTGTATCTTAGATACAAGTATTAGCGGCTTTTCCCAACTCTGATACCACATCTAGATCTAAGTCTATCCCTAACCTTAACCAAATGTTATCCATAAACATGTTCTATCTAGACTCAATTCTCCCTAGCCAAATATGATAGCAATCATATCCCATATAATTTAGGATAAGCTGATCCACTAATGCAATCTGAACCTTTATTTATAAGGTTCAGTTTGGTTACGATTCAATATATAAAAATTCATGATTACGGTTCTTAAAAAAATTATAAAGGTTGAGTCGAACTAATTGTAAAAGTATATAAAGGTTCATTGCGGTTATAAAAAATTTTAGATAATTTTTATTGAAGCAACCACTATCGTTATGATTTTTAATTATGAATATTATTTATTAAAATTTTTTCCATGACTTAAGTTAATATTGTTTATTTAGATGAAATTAATTTATTTTTATTATATATTTTGAGGAAAAAAATAACAAGTTATTTTTAATATAAATATCTATATCATTTTTCGTCATTTACAAAAATTTATTATTTTTTAAAAAAATAATATAAATTTTAATAAAATTTTGTTTAAAATATATTAATTTTTATGAAAAAACTAGTAAATATTAAAGCATTTGGTGGCATTGTTATTTTTCGTATTTTATTTGCGTTTTTTGTTTGTTTTTCTTTATTTTAATTCTTATTAAAAAAATGGAAGATTTCAGACATGATAAAATTTATAAATTTTGAGGGTTTTTTCAATATATCTAGGAAGCAGCCATAAGTATCTATGAATAATATATAAAAGAATAGATAAGAATCATAACCATGTACAAGAATTTGTTAATATGTTTTTATCCATTTTAACCATGATCATAGAATTTAATGACTGCTCAATAGAATATTATGGTTAGATTTCGATATTTATGGAAAAATAGATTTGGAAGGTTTTAATTTTTTTAGTTAGGGATATATTATAAGTAAAAAAAGGAACGGACTTAAAATAAAATAAATAATAACAATAAAAAAAATATGAGGTCAGAGCAAACAAATTTTGTAAAAATCGATAAACAGTAGAATTCACCATTAATTTATAAAGCCACATCGTATGGATATTATTTGTTTAAAAATTTACAATTCCTCATATATAGGAAATAATATAAAAAACAGTTTGGAACAACTTTGCAAATATTTGCATTTCAAGAGAACACAAACTCTATTTTTCATAATAGCATTTGCACGGCCCAGCCTGGATTTTTTTAAAATATACGGCACGGCCTGGGTATTTTAAAATTTTTAGGCCGAGTGTAGGATTGTGAAATAATACCCATTGTAGCTTCAATATCATATTGATATTATCATTGTTGATTCAATACCGTAGTGATATTTTGGTATTGTAGAATCAATACCGTATTGATTTTAAGAGATGTTTTCATTGCTTCAAATATATTGGCGGCCATTAAAATTGTAAGATATTTATTCATAATATATTTTTTTGTTTTATAAAAAAAATATATTATTATTTATAAATAAATTGTGGCTGTGAAAAACCATTCTAATTTATTTGTTTTGCCTAAAAAATAGGGCGTCAATTTGACAAAAGAGGAAATTTAAAACAATGGTGGAATAATTCAACTATCAAGGCATTCAGGAAACGCGCCAAATGTATAATCGATCAATATTCCAAATACAAACTCAAAGAGATTAATTTGCATGTAATATTTCAATATTTATTAGAACTAAGCTAGCCAACAAAATGACTAGTTAGAGTTAGTCTATCAGCTCAAGGCCTTCTAACAGAGGGTAAGTACGAACCAATAGATCATTAAAATCTGGGGAGGTGGGTGGGAGGAGGGGGTACCTTCTAGCCAGTATCAGTGTTCATTTTATAATAAAAATATTTAGCATTCATTAGCTTAGAGGATCCTGCATTTGATATAAAATATTATATTGAAACTGACAATCATTTTGGAGATCTTCTTGCATTAAATGTTGAGTTTTTGAGATAAGGGAATTTTTAAAAATTTTACAAGACTCATAAAATATTACTTTTTTTATTGATAAATATAAAGCTCTCCCCTATCTTATATATAATTTTTAGTACTATCATTATAAAAATGATCAGACACCAAAAAATATAAATCATAGATTAATGGTCGCAACACTCAAGGAGAAAATATCGCTGATAATGGAGGTCTCAAGCAGGCCTTTCGAGTATTTAAAAATTATATCATTAATACTTTCATATATAGATGTATATATTATTTATATTTTCATTTCATTATAGTATAATAGAAATTTATCGATATTATCTGTACTTTTCTTCGAACACAAATATCTAATAATCTTTTTTTTAAATTTTGTTTTGAAGGCATATCAAAAATGGACCAGCAACCATGGGCAGGAAAAACTAATACCTTCTCTTAATTTGACACATAATCAACTTTTCTTCTTAAACTATGCTCAAGTTATAAAAAATTAAATTAATGAATAAAGTTAGTATTTTTTTTGAAAAGTGAAAGGAAAGCAATAAAAGTTAATAAGTGGGAAGGAAGGAAGAAAAGGAAAAGAGGAGAAGAAAGAAAAGGAATGAAATAGAATAGCCATGTTATTTAATTGAAAGAATTTCAACTTTAAAAGAAAATGCAGCCTTCAAACAGGCAGCATTAGACATTTTAATACTTGATATATTGTTCCAACTCCATTCTTGGGGTAAGTTGAGTTAAGATCAAAATCTAATCTATTTTTTTTAATAATAAAATATTGCTTCATTAGCAATTTTCATAACAATCTTTCCTATTAATTTCTTTATTATTAATCTAATTAAGTATTATTGCTGATTTAACAATTAAATTCTTGACTTTCATAAAGTATGATCTTATATAAAAAGATATGGTGTGGATCCATGAGACCCGAAGAAGCACTGAACAAGATACATTCATCGGTACATAGTCCTGGTCCTATTAGGTAATAAATATTAAAGCTATAGGTTATTCATTTATTAAAAAATAAATTATATAATTATTGTATGAAAGATTTAATTATTTAAACTAAGCCCGGCCCGAAAATTTTTTTAAAAATGTTTTGCCGGCCCGGCCCGAAGAAATTTTTTTAAAAAATTTTGCCGGCCCTGCCCGAATTTATTTAAATATAGAAATTAATTTTTATAATTACTCAAAATAAAAGATATATGTTATATAGCGTCTAGTTTCTATAAATAAAATAAAATATTTTTATTTTGCATAAAAAATTTAACATAAAATTAATAAATTTAGATATATTTAAAAAAAATTCTAGCCCGACACGACCCGGCCCGAATATTGTCCTTTAAAAATAGTACATGGCATCCTTGAAAGATGCCCATAGCAGACCCCTGGCGAGCTTTGAAGATATCCAATGATCGAAAATTCTGAGGTAAAGATTGGTTGGTAGCAGAGATATATATATCTAGTTTGTCGCTATTTTTGTATGTTGTTGCAGAAATGAAGAGGAATTGAATATGAATTTTAAATCAAAAATCTAGGCATGAACAATGACTACCAGATATGCATGCGCCTAAATTTTGTTATCAATCCGGCCCGGGTCCATGGAAATTTTTTAAATATTTGATTCAGTCCCCTAGTTCTAAATAAATTTAAACCCCGCCCCCCTCCCTGTCTTTGTTAATAAAAAAATAGGCTTGGCCTATTAAAAAATTAAAAACTAAGCGCACATGTAAAATTTAATCATAAAAAAATGATTTCAATAATGATAATAATATATTAGATCTATTAAATATGTATAAATTTAACGAATTTTAAATTAATAACATGCCCAAACCCGGCCTATTAAATAAAAATTTAAAAGCCTGCAGGTAAAGGGAAAAATTAAAATCGAAGACCAGATTTTATTTTTGCTCATGGGCTAAGCCCGACGTATGCAGGCCTATGGTGTTTATACAAAAGGGGAAAGATTTGGCGTACATTTAAAAGAAGTACGGGGGGGGGGTGATAGAGTAACAAATATTTTTGGGGTAAGAGATAAATTTATGGGGTGTGATGTGTAATGAACATTCTTGAAATTGAGTTCACAAAAGGTAATAGCCTGCAGTTCTTTTACAATATTTTTGATATATGAGAGGGGAGCATGATGTTATCATCATTGTTAATACTATCTATTTGTAATTGCAAATTTAATTCAGTTTTATTTAAATTTAAATAATTTGTTTAAAAAAATCAGAATTTGTAAATGAAAATCGATTTATTAGCAGAATATTTCAAATTTGATGATAAGGGAGATTCTGAATGTGTAGAATATGTAATATATATCAGGGAGTCATAATAGCAATTTAGGGTGACACATTAAGAGAAATCACTCGAATCAATTTGATGAATATTTAGGTAAAAAAATAAAATCATAGAAACTTCGACTACTACCAAATCTGATACAAAATAATAAATTGAAGGATATTATATTAAAAAAATCTATTCATATTACGATGTCTGAAGAGCTGACAAATGCTTTGATTGATATGATGACCGTTAATGGCCGCCTTTTTTTTCAACTATTGAAGGCTCAGGGTATGAAAAATAATTGACCGTATTTCCACAAATTGTTTTAAAATTAGAGACTTGATTACAGATGATTTTAGATAAAAATTAAGAGAAATAAAAACTGATTCTGCTAAACGATTAGATAGAATGGGAATCAATATTAAGCATGTTCGAGATAAGATTATCGCATTAAAATTTTGGAATAGCTATATGAGATAATATAAAAAAATGATTCTAGAGACCTTGAATAAATTCGAAATTCCACTAAATAACCTGTATACTATAACAACCAATAATGGTGCAAATTTAAATTCTATAAAAATATATGAATCTGTGGAAGAGGAGAATAGGGATGAAGATATGAATGATGATAATAAATGAAGAAATGGCAGATCAAATGTTAAAAAATTTAATTCCATAGATTATAATATTAGATGTGCAGCACACATATTAGTTAGCCATTAATGATTGTTAGACAAATGCGAAATCGATTATTGACCGAGAAAGGCAAGTAAAATTTTTAGATGTCCACAATTGTTAGAACCTTGATATCACTGAAAAACCTTTGGCAATAATTGATTGTTCAGATGATGATCGGTTTACGATATGCTGGATTGATTGCTAAAATTGAAGATTTTTATATGGACTTTGTATCGGAAGTTATTCTGGAGGAAACAGAATGGAATTCAATACCTAGTATATCTGAAGTTTTGAAACCGCTTAAGGTGAATATCTTGATGTACAATCGGAGCAAAAGTGCCTCTCCTATTTTTGTCGCATTAATACGTTAAGAATTGGAAAAATAGACAATTTTTTCCAATGAGATATTAGGTCATATGATAATATTAATTATGCCTCACTATATTTAGATCCCAGGTATCATCGATATTAATCTTAACTACAAATGATCATGATGATTTTGAAAAATTGCTATTAGAAAAAGAAATTAGTTAACACATTCCAATTAGCTCATTATTATAAATATTTTCACATATTAAAAGAACTAATAAGGATGCAAATATTTTATACTTCTGAGAAAAGAACAGTTTAATTTATTCAGAATTAAAAACGTTGGCGAAAGTTGTTCTAGATGTATCAGCAACACAAATTCATTGTACATATTAAATTATTAATTACTAGGTTAGCGTTGAACGATCATTCTTATCATTAAAATATATTGTCGGATCTACGTGGCAGTCTCAATGATATTGATAATTTACAGCTGTTAAAAGATACTTTTTAAATGGATCTAGATACAGATATATCGTTTGAAAAGTTATCTAGATACAGATAAATAATCTAAAAAGTTATCTAGATATCGATACAATTTTAAAAATGTATCAAGATAGAGATGTAATTTTTATTATACACTTATATAAGGTTTGCTTAAACCTAAATTAGGATTCTATGTGGAAATTCATGAAATGAACTAAAAAATTTATTGACTCGATATTACATTTATCAAAATATAACTAAAATAATGATTTTTAAATTTTAATATAATATATTAAATTATTATAAATAATTATTAGATTTCAGTAATAAAATATTTTCAAAATTTTGGTCATTAAGGCATCTTAGTTTATTTGTAAAGACATTTTTATCTACACTAAAAACTCTTTCTACCGGGGCGTGAAGTTATATTTTATGAATTACAATTTTTAAAATACCAAAATCTCCACATTCATTTTTAAAAAAATTATTTAAAATTTGTCGAGTATCAAAATATAAATAATTATTAACATTCATACTATTGGCATCCACAGTGGCAACAAGATTTAATGTGTGACTGGCACAACATTGATGACTAGGTAAATTATATGTTTCTGATATTTCAAAATCCTATATTGATGTTGGTACAACTACTTCTTCATCTTACAGATCCTCCATGGATTCATTAGTATTTTCAATTGGCTTGAAAACTCTATAATAAATAATTAATCCTAATCATATATTATATTTATAATAAAATAGAACCTAAAAACTTTGAGAAAATTTTTGGTATTGTCAGTAATGATCTTTAAGATTTTTTTGAATGCAATAATCATTTGCTATATTTTGTAAATTATTATGTTATTTTGTAATATATATGACTACCAGTCATTCTTTTACAATCCAACGCTATATTTTCTTTCCAAGCTTGTGGTATGTATGAAGTAAAAATTTACATTTCTTAAAACTGCGCAAATAATTTGTTCATAATTAATTATTATATTATACAAATTTAAATGTTAGCTATACCGGCAGTAGGCACTCCAACGATTTTTATGATTTCTTTCTTTTCATTTTCCCATCTTTGTGAAATTCTACCAACCAATGTCTGTAGGCAAATTATATTTTTTATGGAGCTAATGTTTTGATCATTTTATAAATGAAGGATTTTTAACAATTGAAAATGGCTGAATGTTAGCTATAATAAAAGCAGTTATTAAAACATCTAATTTGGGCTCAAGTCTAAGATCTCTTGACAAAAATATCCAATATTTTTTTCAACAGATTTATTCTCCTTCCCCTTTTTTATTTTAATTATCAGTCTTAAAATTACAATTTTAAACATTTATTTAATATCTGTACCCTTAAATGTTTTATAATGTTGCAAGTTGAGGTAATGCTAACTGAAATTTTAGTATTTTTTTGTAGATATGGCAAACATTTCACTATCAGAGATTTATTTTATTTATTTTGAGATATTATTTTAAAATATGCTCTTTATATTGGCCGAACTTGTTGATGCTTCATTGATTATTACTTCTTCCTCTTCTTCACTATTAATATTAATCTAAAATAAATTTTTAAAATTAGTATAATAAAATAAAATTAACTAATTCCATTGAAAATAAAAATGGCAGATTTCTTGAGATGCATTGTGATATCAAACTTTGTTGTTTATTGATAAACTCGGACATAATATTTAATGAATATTTATATATATTTTTTTATTATAAGTTTTAAATATTTTATATATAATTTTTTATTATAGTAGTCTTAATATTTTTTAATATATATATATATTTAAATTTTTTTATAATATATTTTCCTTTATTCTTCATTAATTACAATTATAATTTCGTTATATCGACAATTTATATCAAGGTATATTATAATAATAGTAAAAAAAATATAATATTAGTAAATCACAATTATATAGTCATTAATTCTTGCTATTTTTTTATTGATTGAGATTCAAGTTCCCTTTTAAGGCTAACATTATAATAGGGAACAAATGGCCAAAGTCTATACCCTGCATAGGATGTTCAATTACGGGGTTTCGGATATTGAAAGAATAAAGCTGAGATAATTATATTTTACTATGTTTATGGCTAATCGTTTGCGTAGGTAGAATCCCTCGTTGGGATCCTCGGTCCTAGCAGAAATCCGTTTTCCCAGCTCTTTAAAGAAATCTAGGGCATGATAGCCGAACGACGTTAGAGTAGTGGTGATTATGGTAGGAATGTATAATTGGCGGGAAGAGATGGCGAAGCTAATTTATTTGCCTCGTCATCTAGTATGGCATCTTTATTTATATTGGAAGGGGCAAGAGGATCATGAGAAATCCTAAGTTAGGAATTCCCCCCTCTTCCAAGGGATCATAGTCGAACTATCGGGCCGCTTACCATCAGAATTGTAAAGGCCAGTAGGTTCGATAGTTGATGGGATGCCGGCGGATTTTAAGGTCCTGGCAATGGTATCATTGCATTTGAATGCCTAATGAATCTGCCTCTACAGCGCTTGCAGTGTAGAGTGACGGCCTTTGGAGTTGACCTACGTTTGACAGAGGATACAGTGATAAGGTATTACCATATCGCAATTCAGTCTAAGACCGATGGCGTGACGTAGCTCATCATTGCTTAGGAGCTGGTCAATGTTTCGGGATGGGAAAGCCTCAAGAAATTCGTATCCACTACCTTCGGAAATGGAGAAGAGTAGAGAATGGTCCTCTGGTTGGCTCTTCTATTTAAGGAATGCAAGGAGTTGCCAACTAGAGGTTTATTCTAATCCATCTGTAATGCCGACGATGGAGGATCGACTAATGAGAGGGACTTCCATAGATCAATTGCCTATAGGAGTTAGGGGTTAAGATGTTTTGTTAGTGTTTGAATTATGGGCTCGCAGGACAGGCGAGAGGATATGAACGCATTAACAGAAAGTAGGGAAGGGGACCTTATACCTATGCCGCCGGATTTGGTTGGTAAGGTAGCCTGTAAACATGATAATTCCAATTTAAGATTGAGGATATCTTCTGTAAGGCGTTTAACCTCCAGTTCGTGTGAAGCGAGGTTGACGTCATATTGAAAGATCCGTGACGCTCGGAGTGTATATAAAATTCTTGGAATTAAAAGGTATTTAATAAAAAGAAAGCTTGGTGAGCTGGGAGGCGAGATAGTATATCGCGCATAAGGGATATCTCTCGTAGAATATCGGCAAAGAACTTGATAAAGGAGTCGTCTTTACCTACTGGAGATCCGAGATGTGTTAGTGTTCAATGGTGTATGATTGAACATAGTATCGTGGTTAGGGTCAATGATCCCAAGAGGACAATATTCGCTTTGTTCATATGAAATAAAATAAATTTTGCATTTATGTATTTTTATTTATAATATAAAAAAGCGTTAAATAAAATTATATCAAAATGTATCTTAAAAGTATATAAAACAGATATAGATACCTATAAAATATTATCTAGATACAGACAGATACTTTAACTACTCTGATAATTTGCCAAAATAAAATTTTTAACATATAAATATATAATCTTTTAAATTGGATTATAGTATATTATATATATTATAATTATGATAAATTCTTGGCTGAAAAGACGGAATAATATTTTTACAATCTAATTTCATTAAAAAAAAATTAATTTAATTAAGAAAAGTAATTACTTAAAAAATAAAATTACTATCTAAAATCTTTTGAAATTCTTCAAATATTTTTTATAATATCTTCGCGCACTTATTAATGGAAGAAATTACTGAGAAGTTTATGAAAATCTAGGATATATTCAAAAATATAACTTTTATAAAATTTTAAATTAAATGTGTTTTTGAATTTTAAAACCAATATTGGGAATTTTTACATTAAAAATAATGCATATTATGATTTTATATTAATAAATTAGTGGCGCGCGGCCATGCAAAAGGGGACTTTAAATTATGGCATTTAATACGATTATAAGTATAAATCAATACGGCTGGAACAGGGTCGTCAAGAATTTTAAAAGTTTTTATTCACTGGCCCGTAATTATTATTGTGCAGGAATAATCATAAATTTGCATTATTCACAGTTGTAAATTTTTTAAAAATTCCGGGAGCGGTCCACCCAAAAAAATATTATGTACAAATTGCTCGGTCTGGCCTGTAATTCTTAGCCTAGCCTGCACCGTGCAGTAGATCTCTGATAGCCTCAATTTTCATTTAAAATACTTTATTCTTTTTAAGATTCTGCAAAATGTATTGAACTGCAAATCGGTGGGGGGGGGGGTGCTTAGCATATCTTAAATAAAGATATTACCACCACCATCTCCGAAAGAGCGAGCTATATAAGTGATGTTATAAAATGTAACGGTGAAATGATTTCAAAAAAATATGATAAGTTTACAGTAATAGCTGGATATGTCTCAGTAATTATTCTTTTTTGGGGGTTATAAGATTGAATTATTATGTTTTTCCCAAATGTTGTAATAGCAATAGATATCTAGCCCTTTGTTTGATTCATTAAAGATCTCTTTATTGTAAATATCATATAAAATTAATCGATTTAAAATAAAAATAATTTAGAGTAATTGGCCCACTCTCGAATTCAATTGACTTTTCAAATGCTTATAATTGTCCGCTAGGAAGCAAAATGAATCCAGTCAAAAAATGTAACGTTTGGTAGTTAATTGCGTCCCGGTTTATAAAAAAATTATCGTTCCATATGTATAATGATAATAATATTATGTAATTTGCAATTATGAAAAGTTTTACATTTAAATTATTTTTTGAATGCGTTAAATACTATATAAAATCAATCATTCCTCAAAAGCCAAAGAAAGGGACTCAAACTTTCCTCACCAACACTCATAATTATACTAATTTTATTTTTAGGAAACCGTCTATCAAAATAATAAGACTTATTTAAATTAGGAAAAGTTTTAATGATAAATTTTGTCATGATTGACAGATTTTTCTTTTCGGATACTTTATTGATCCCTTTTTTTCATAAAAAATTGGAAGAAAAAATCTTTAAAAAAAATATTTCTTTCTTTTTATGAATATATTAATAAGAAATATCTTTTTAAATTAATTATAAACTGGGTTTATAAATATATTATAATATGACGGAACCAACTCGGCCAATGAATTTATATAATGTCAGTTAATCTTTTTGAGGTTTTTTGAATACTTTTAAATTTAATATCTATATATATATTTTTAAACTAGGATTAAAAATGTAATTATTTTTTTATAAACAAACTAATAACCGTGAATCTTGAATCGCAGGGGACTAAGATTTCATATTTTTTTTCCAAACACTTACATTATGCAAATTTTTGATTTAAAAAAATAAATATATATTTATATTGTAAATAGAAGAAATTATATTTAGATTAATTTTATTATTTTTGATATAAATCTTTTAGATGTTTTATGTAAGTATTACTTTAATGCTTTCATCTTTTATTTCACATATTCCGTTCCGGCATACGTTAGTTATCCAACATTTGAAGAATTTTAAAAAATTCACTTATAAACTTTTTTTTAACCCTTGACTAGTGGTAAGGTGGGAAAAAATAACGTGTAAGCTGGGATACATCTAATTATCACTCATTTTTAAACTGTCATCTAATTCATATATCAATAATTATATCCCCAGGTGAGGATTCTAAATCACTAAGTTTGTAAAAAAAAATAAAACATTATGTATACTAGGAAAAGTATAATAATTTTTTATTAATCATCAGACATTGAAAAATTAATCATGACAGAGATGCCCCAATGATCACTAGGAGGAGTCTGAAAGGTCCTGTCTTGGTAAATCATTTTCTCGATTCCTACGAAGTTAAATTCTCCCACTTTCATCATAAATTTCGGGGTTTTAACAAGATCTTTTGCTTTGAGGGAAGATTTGACAACCTTTAGTGGATCCATATCTTTCTGCTATATTTAATCAAAACAAGAAAACAATTTTATTTATTTTAGTAACATTTTGGATTAAATAGTAATCTAAATCTATAAACTAATCATCAGGCATAAAAAATAATAAAAGTTTTTAAAAAAAATAAGGACAGGAGGGAAATATTTACTATTCCTTTTTATAACATATTTTGTAAGATAATAGCTCCACTTAAAAATGTTCAACTGTAGGAAATTTTTTAATTGGGCGAAATATATTTAAAATCAAACAAGTATAAAAGTAGGGAGTCGTTTTAAAGAGACATGGATTAGAGTCAATTAAAGATTTGAGAGATATGGGTTAGGTAGGGTTAAGACTTAAATTAAAATAATTTTTAATAAAATTTAATGATCATTTTAATAACTGTCAAATCTAACAGGTCAAATGATTATATAGATGAATAGAAATTTAAATAAATTAGCGGTTGTAATGAAAATTTCCTTGAGTTCGACCATAATTATTTTGTAATAAATTGAATAAAATAGATTAAAACATTATTAATTTATCAAAGTTATCGATGAATATTAAAATTTAAAGCACAATATAAATAAGCCTTAGATAAAATAAATATTTTAGAAATAATAAGCTATTCAAAAATTTGGGTGGCGATGGGTTAAAATCTAAAAAAAATTTAACAACGGGCTTTGGGCGGATCAAAAAATTTCGATTTTAAGTCTTACAAACTATTAGACCTTATCCTGGTTCGTCTTATTTTCGAAACTTATTTCTCTTTAGCCCAGGCTTAACAGATTTTGAACTAGGACAATTTTGGTTTGTTTTAAGTTTTTACATTAAATATTAATCATTATTTATATATTTATACGTAAACTTAAAGAGCCTATGGCTGCTTAAAGGAAGTTATATAGACGGCTATACAGACACCAAGACATAGCCTTATGACTTTTAATTTACTATATGTTTTGACGTGATGTATGTTATGTAAATTTTTAGTCTATGATATACAATAAACTCTTATAAATGGCCTTGATTTTTTACAATTTAAAAAAAAACATGAATAAAAGAAATCTCTTCTTATTTATATTTATACCTTTGAACATAACATATCTTCTCTAATAGGACTCATCTTTCTCATCTTCTTCCTATTATCGTCATCACATTTTGGGTCATGTTTATACTTAAGGTGATAATTGATTTCTATGTCAGAATCTTTTATGGAAGATTCATTTAATATTCCAAATCGATTTATAGAGTACATAGTGTACAAACGGTCGAACCTAAGTCTTCCCTTGACACGTGACTCTGAATCATTGTTGACCGTGGTTTTAATAGAAGAATTACCCGCTTTGGAGGATCTTGCGTAAGGGGATATATCCTTTTTTAAATGTTTGTAAATATTAATTATGTCAAATTTTTATATTAGAATAATTGTGTGAAAGACTTAACAAATGAGCTTTTGTTGTGAGTTTAGAAGCATGAGTGAATGAAAAAAATGGGTTCAAAGTTTTATTTTAATCATTTAAATTTTATTTAAATAATATGATTTTTTGAATGTGTAAATTATTATACGAACTGTCTTGAAATTATGATCCAGAGGTCTGCAAGGTCCGGCCTGCTAAATTTTTTGTCCGGCTCGGCCTGAAATTTTTAAAATATTTGCCAGAAGCCCAATTCTCTTATAAACAAACAATATCGATTCTGAATGTTTGCCCAAATCCGACCGATTCGAGTTTTGTTAAATCAAACTCAGCTGTTAGTGCAAGGTCTAGCTAATATGATATATTTTAGAAATTTTTGTTTAATATTAATTTGCACATTAATATTTGTGAAATTGAACTTATTTTAAATATTGTATTAATATAAAATTGATAAGTCGGAAATGTAACTCTAACTAATTATTATAATCTTTCATATTTGCAAAAAAATGGGATGGAATTAAAAGAGAAACGAAAATTTTAAGCCCCATATCCTGAAATCATAAGTCATGCCACTTAACCAAGATTTATATTTAAATTTTTTTTAATTATATAGAAAATTTTATGGCTCTAAAAAGCTTTAAAATATAAAAATTTATTTAATTTCTTTTAATTGACAAATGACACGTAATTAGTGCCTCGCAAATCGGTTCAAAATAGGGATAGGGGCCGGGCTTAGAGATGCTTAAATTTATATTTTAAAAAAAATAATGGCAAAGCCCGGGTCAAAATAAAATAAATTTGTAAGGCTCTACGTGTTATCCATTTATAACAATTGAAAAAAAAACTCCACAAAATGTATCACTAAGTTTAATATAATAATTTTTTTCTACTTTGGGAAATGTAATATTGCTATTGTACAAGGCATCATAGGTGAATTGATATTGCATGGGTGAACCGGATGCTTCCCATAGATCCACCATCTCTAAATCTCGAGGACTTGACTGAGTATTCATTGCCTTTTCTATCTATCATAAACAAGGATTCATTCATTAATATAGATCCAAACATTGTAAACATATTTAACGCTTATCGAGTCGATTTAAAAATTTATTAAACATAAATTCGTCATACATAATATGGTCTACAAGAGATTAATTGGTTTTTTACAAATATTACTTTATTTTTCAAGCATTACAGCTATTTTTTTAAATAAAAAATAAATCATTTTTTTAAAAAATTTTTTTCTCTATATATCAAAAATGGAATGATGCCATTTTTTTTTGCTGAATACTAGGGTTTTTAAAAAGTCCATTAAGATTTAAGCCCAAATAATATTATGTAAGCCTGGAGATTTGGCAAATAGAGGTCCAAATCTTTCTGCAATCTATAAGCAAATCTTATTCCTAAAATTAAAAAAAAACAATAAAAGTTAAATTCTTAACTTCTCCATTAATATTTTTACTTAAATATTTAAATATATTTGTAATAACCCGGGATTTTACCTAACATGAAGAAGAAACCCAGGGTTTTTGAAAAAATCTGACCCCAACCCCAAACCTGAACTCCGCTTATAAAATTTCCTAAATCCCGAATTTAACCCATTTTTTAATATTAAATCTTTAAATATTACAGATATTACTTAATGATGATGAATATATTTGTGAGAAAAGGCATTTTAATTTATAAAGTAGGGTTAAACCCATTTCCACACCCATTTTATCTGATGATAATAGTTTAGATGAAGATATTGAAAAGATGATTTAAAGAAATTAATACAACTTAAAGAAAGGCAGGATAAAATATTATTGAATATGGCGATTTTAAAAGATTGGATAAGAGGTAAATATTTTGCATTTTTGGGAGTGCTAAGCTCCACCACTTTGATATCTTATTTCCTGTTCCTGTCCGAAGTTAATTTATAATATTTTCATATAAATATATTTATATATAGGTTAGTGTTGAAAGATCTTTTCATATTTGAAATTCATTATTTCACCGCAAAGATCGAGGGTGAGCAAACAACTCTTGGTAGATATTATGCCAATACGTTTAAATAAAAAATTTTAAATTGATACATGACTATGCTTTGTATTATTAAATATATTTTGCCTATAATAAAATAAAAATTTTAATACTAAATTTATGTCTAGTTTTGTAATTATGATTTAAATATAGATGTTTTTTTATAATTCAAAAATGCCTAAACCCAAGCTGAACCTAGAACCAACTACAGGTTCAAAAATATTTTCCTGAACCAAACCGAACCCACTTAAATTTTTTTAACCTTGAACCAGACCTGGCTAAAAAATATTCCAGATGCGCAACCCTGATAATAAATACATTTCATGAGTATCATCGTTTTAAATAGATCACTTTTCAAAATAATTTTTTGTTGTTTTACCAGAAATACGATACTGAAGATATTTAAAATAATTTCTGTTAGGAAGAATTTTAAGGGCTACAAAATGATATATAAAATTGTTAATTTAAACCAAAATTTTGTGAGTTTTGAGATATTAAAAGAGGGTTCATATCGAACTTCCCCGACCCATAACTTGGGGTATATTTGAGCTAGAGCTTTAAAATTTTGATTTGTATAATACACAATATATTTAACCCACACTAAGTTTCAGCAATTCTTAAAATTCTTGTCCTAATTACTGAGTGATTTGTCATGGTATTACCTTTGAGCATTCTATTCCTAATCCTCCATCATTTATAATTGTATGCCATGGGAGGCGGCCTTTGGAATACCTATAATGTAAAGGATTGTGTCCTTTGGAATCAGATGGTAAAGAAATATTAATACATTTATAAGGAAATGATATATCATAGCCAAGATGAGGTGAAATAGCTATATGAAATTTTTAATTAGTGAGAAGAAGGCTAATATTTTTGCTTGGAATCACTGGCAACCATTCATAGCCCAATTTAGGCAGAAAAACCTAGTTGGGATATTGTTCTACTTCTAGGAATGAGATACTAGTGGAATAACCCAAGCTTTCTGAAAAGTGGATGTTGACGATTGCCTACCCAAGTGGTCTTGGAAATGAGTTTGCTAGTAAATTGGCATAATGCTTTATAGGTCAATATCATGATCAGCATGTATTAATTCAACTGCTTAATCTTGAGGAGATAAAAGTGGCAAGAGAAGAAGGATGGGGGAAGGAAATCAATCCTACCATTTATGCATGGAAGAGAGGCCTAGAGCCATGATATATCTGAAAATATATTTATGAAAGTGGAGACTCTTGTAATGGGCTGATCTCATAGCATATATGGAGCAAAAATAGAAATAAAATGTTAAGAGATAATATTGTAGCAGGCATAAGATTATTACTAATGTAAGGAATGATGCTTATAAAAGAGATGTAACTGGCTATGAAGCCACAATCTAAATACCTGTTATTTAATAAAAGCTTTAAAACTTGGATTGAATCTATTAATCCTAGGTATAATAATGGTGGTTCCAATGCCTCACCTTGTTGTGTACCTTCACAAGAAAGAATAATTTTGACATAGCACTTTTTAGGCTTGGAGTAGCTATGGAAAGAATATGGGGATAAGATAATAAGGATTATTAAGGTCAATTTTAAGAAAAATTAAATGTGGACCTGCATTAGCTAGTAGCATTTGTGCCACGTATGCTGCAACCTCTGCTCCTCCTTTGATGAAACACCCAATTGATTAGAAAGGGATGATGATATTGCAGATTTTAAATGTCTGACTATGATTTTAGATACAACACAATGAAATATTGATCTAATTGGTTGCACCCCATCATTTTTTATTTAAAGGAATTTAGCAAGCCTCAAAGAATATAGGAATAATGGGTTCAGGGATTGGACCTTTTAGCAGTAGATTTAGAAATTGTGATATTTGCTAAATCATAATATATTTTATCAAGGAAATAAAATAAAACTAATATTTTTTAATATTTCTTTATTATTTTATAGTGTTATTATGTATGTCATAATTAGTAGATTATTATAAAATATTAAAAAGTAATTATATCCCCTCTAAATGATGAAATGTTAATGTATCATTAATGAAATGATCTTAATTATACTACTGAGTATCATTATTTACCTCAATAAAAATATTATCATTTAAATTTATACAAGCTTTCAATATTTTGAGAAAATAAATATAAAGTAATAAAAAAAATCTTAAAAAAATAATTATCTAATTTTTATACATCTTTTTCTCTGATATTTAGATCTCCCCCAAATAGTACCATCTTATTTTGGCTCACTAATTCATCCTCATTTTTATTTAGCAGATAATTGTTTGAGAGATTTACACAATGGGTATATTGATTAATCCTTTCTTTCATATATTGGCTTTGATTTGTGCTTTCTAAATGAGTGTTCATCAACATGATATATATATTATCTTCCTGTATCATTATATTTACCTTTACATAAAAAACTAATACTTATTTTGTACAATCAAAAATCATAAATATAGTGAAAGATTGTGTTTTACTTTAACTATCAATACACCTCTTCCCATAAAACTATTTTCAAAGGGTGTATAATAGGAATCTAATATATGTACATAATCATTTTTCAGGATCAAAGTACATACAAAATAATTTAATTTATTTATTTTATTTGCATTATCGTGCCCAAGTATGATATGATATTTGTAAGAAAGTTCATCTTCTATTATTTTTAAGGAATCAAGAACAACTTCTTGAAGATATATGAGGCTGGGATTCTCCCTTTAACAATTATAATTTATATTAAATATTATATTAATACTTTTTAACTATATCACATATAACTTTGCTTCTAATTTCTAAATTTTTACTATCTAATCCATTTAGATTCCAGGTTATGATTTTATGAAAATCTCTATTGTAAAAAATATTTTCATATGAGATAAAATTATTAACTTTTTAACTTCAATAATAGGCACATTTTTTCGTTCTATTTCTATATCATTATCTAAAAAATAATCATTTAAAGAGAGCTACAACATTGTTTTTAATTGTATAAAGTAATAAATTAATTTACATATAAATCCCATTTCCTATCTTGTAAATAAAATTGAGCTAAGGCAGTATCTGTTTTAGTAATTTTTGCGAAGTTTTGGCATAATTCCTCGCATATTTTTACAGGTGGAACACTTAAATCATCTTCATTTTCCTCCATATATTAGTACAGTATTTTTTAAATTTAGCAGTGTAGGTAAATTGAGAATTGACAGTTATTTAATTTAGTATCAATTAAATTAAAATAGAATTAAAATGTTTTACTATATAAAACTAAAATTTAACTAAATCATTTTTATAAATAAATAGAGTATGAAAATAAAATTAGTATATATATATATATAGATCTGCAAAGCCTGGCTCGGTTCAAACCCAAAACTTTTTTGCGAGCTCGGTTATAATTTTTTAAAAAATTTGCCCAACCCAGTAAAGTAGTGTTGTTAAAAGGCTCATTTTGAGCCGATATTTAAAAACAGCTAACTCATTTTAGCCAGAAAATTATTGCCTAAGCCTCGAGATTTCGATAATATATGTCTAGTTTGTTCCTTCTATGAGCAAAATCTTCAGATTTGCGTAATATTTTCCTGGATGAAATATTGAGTTAGCCGTTTTTAAAAATTGGCTCAAAACGAGCCGTTTAACAACACTACAGCCCTGTTAGTTAGATTTTACGAAAAGTTAGCCCAACCTGTTGAATATTTTCGCTAATCTAATTTTTTCTCAATGTCAATTAAGGTTATTATATTTCTCCTTTATTGCTATCTATTTCTAGAGCAATCATTTTATAAATCGTGTTTTTAATATTTGCATTGTGCATTTAAAATTGGACCAAATCATAATAACTTGTTCAATTTTTTCAAAATTTACTTTATTATTTATAGATTTCATATTTTGTTACAATCAAAATTTTAGTTTGGAATTCAATAAATTATGTCAAAATTTTAACGCCTAGGCTGGCTTATTAAAAATTTGCTAAAAGAGTTGCTAGGCCCTATATTTTATATATGAATTGCCATACCCGATTCCCTGAAATTTTTCATTGCATGCCCCCCTCTTAATTTGTAAAGAATTCTTGAGGACTCTTGATAAATCTCCCCACCTCAGTTATCCTTGGTCCATTTAATTTTTTAATTTTTCTATAGATGGTGCAATTACTTTGTAAAATGGAGTTAAATATTTACCGCTTTCAATTGCTATCTGTCATTTATAGTTAATGGTGTCTGTTTACTTATTTGTTTTTTCCTCGTTAACTTTTAACCCATGTTTTTTTAATATATTCAACTAGTCAATCTCTCCTTCATTTTATCCTCCTTTTTCAGTATGTATTGTAATATCATCTACATATGGGATTGTTTCCGTGATAGTCTTGTGATAAGACATTCAACACTGTTATGAACATTAGTCTGACCCTTGATGAACTCCCAACTATTTGGAAGCCTATTAATGCGCCCGTTACACTTTAAATCATTGTCGTGTGGTTCATGTAGATATCTTGTATTTTCTTATATATTTTTCCGGTACCTTTTTATAGCATAGAGACCACCATATATGTTATCTAGGGATTTTATCGAAAGCTTTCTCTAAAACGAGAAAGAACATATAGAGCTATTTTTTACCTGTGTCTAATTGCATGAATTAGGCATGAAACCAAACTGGTCTATCCTTTTCGATTATGTCTCATAGTCTCTTTTCATGCCCCTGTAATTTTAACATGGGTCTCCTTTGTTTTTGAGGATAGGAACTAAAAGACTCTGCCTCAATTTTTGAGGATCTCTTCATTTCCCAGTATTTTGTTTAATAGTTTTGTGAGAAAATGTATTCCTTCATCTTCTAGTGCTTTAAATCTTTCTATTGAAAAATCATCAGGGCTTCTTTGACTTATCATTTTCATGTGTTTGAGGCCACTTATTATTTTGTGCTGTTATCGGTTGAACGACGTTTTGCCATTGTGGTTGTTCATCTAGATACAGTATAAGTTGAAGAGTTCCGTAAATATTCTTTTCATCTATTCATTATCAATTTTTCCGTTTTCCCATTTGTATTTTTGATTACATTTGGACCATCTATATATTTTCTCGTTGTTTGGCTAATCAGTAGATTTTATTTTGCATTTCTTTCTATTGTGAAGCTGTTCGTACAGGTCGTCATATGCCAGTGATTTGGCCCTTGTCACACTAACTTCGTGGTCATTTTCTTTGACATTTTGTATTTTTGTTTATCTTCTGTTGGATCATATTTTATAGTGTTTTCATGTCATTCATAGCTGCCTGTACATCCTTATTCTATCACTATATTTCTTTGTTTTCCACCCTTGTAAAACCAAGGGTAAGAGTAGCAGCATCTATCAATCTTGTTTAGAGGTCAGTCCCGATTTTTTTCACTAGTTTGCTAAGAGTCGATTGTTTCGATTGCATTTATTGCGAAGCCATCTGTCATTGATTTAAATTTTCCCCATTTGATGCGTGGTTCTAGTCTTATCTTGTTTAGCGGGGATATATTTGTAAGGCGTAAATCATGATTAGTATCTTATGCTTTAAAGCAATGTCTTAACCTGGGATGAGTTTGCTATCCATTACATTTTTAAGCGTTAAACGATTAGAATATAATTTAGTTATGTTTTTCATGTTCCATTCTCGTATATTATTTTTCCTGGAAAAGCCTTAAAAATATATTATAGACTTTTCATAACAAATTAAACCTAATAAATAAATTAAATAATATTACTTTAAAACAATCTCCACAACATGTATATATATATATATATCGTTAATTAAGGCAAGTCACAATTTTTAACAATGTAATTAATTACAGGATAATCTTCTACAATATCGTTTTTGTCACTACTCACATTTGTCTCATATCTTTGATTTCCATGCATTTTTAAAAGTAAACTATGATTATACAATGTAATAAATTAGTAACTAAAATACGTTTAGATAAAGATAAATATTTAACCTAATCCTAATCTTAACCCTAACCAAAGTGTAGATATTTGACAAAAGAATTTCTTTATTCGCAATATATATCTATAGTAGAGACTGGGGTTATATTGTCCATAAAAAATTAAGTACTATAATAAATAAAATACTATCCCCGGCCTCCCCTCGAATAAAACTAAAAATTATATATTTTCTCTTCGATGACGACCAATTTTTCAAGAAATAGTTTTGGTTGGGTTAATGATAGTCACCATCAAGTCAACATATAGCATTTTTCTAAATACCGACCAAAATTTATTAAAATATAATAAGAACCCATATTATTTAAGATATATTAAAACAAAATCAGTGGAGTCCGGCCTCCTATATATTATCCCCCCCCCCCAAGGACGGAACCACAAAATTAGATTAAGAAGAAAAACATGATCATTGCTGGGATTCGATTCCATAACCACGGATTGGTAAGCGAAGCTTTTGCCGACTAGGCCACAGAGGCTTTCCAAAAATCACGATTTTTTAAATATATATTATAAATAAATTTGGTATTATCTATCCAAATGAATAAACAGAATACAAATTTGATATGTAATATCTTAAGGTAGTGACTATGACTATCATTAACCGGTTGGTTGAAAAACGTCAGCGCATTCTATCAATAAAAATAAATTATTATTGATTATGAAGTCTTTGAATTTCGTATCTCGAAGAGAAAGTATTTAAAACTTAAAATTGTTGGATGTGAAAGGAGAAAGAAAAAATTTGAATATGTTATTTTGATGAATTTAATTGAATAACCGATTTTTATAAAATTATTTAGTATGCAAATGTGATGTTATATAAAAGTCGAGAAAAATTTTTAAAGAAGTATTTTTCTTTTAGTTTTTTTATAAAAAAAATATTCTTTTCGTATTTGTTTATGTTTTATAAATTAAATAAATTAATTTTGGTTTTGCGGTTAGTTTTTTTGTATTTTGTTTAAAATAAATTGTTTTATAAATTAAAGGAAGGAATTTAGTTCCATTAATTGGGTAACCTGTTGAAACTAATACAAATATTACTAAAGACTTGGGTGGCATCTCTAAAAATGAAAACCATAATAATATTTTATCATCTAAATTTATAATTTTTTTCTTTCCATTTATTTAGAAGAGCTATTATCTGTTGTATATGTAATATATATAATGATATCTTCTTCCTTTTCATATAATCATTCTAGATTATAAGTGACTTCCTCAATATCCCTGCTGTAATTTATAAAAATAAATTTCTATTAACAATTAATTAAAATTATTATTAATTTTGAAGAAGAAAATAGGTATTTTAGAATACTCATAAAGGTATTTAGCTATAATTTATAAAAGCTATATTTAAAAATGCCTTAAAAAACATGCATATAAACGAATAACTTCTTAACGCAGATGTTGAAAATGTATTTTTCTACTGCCCAACCAACTCTGTTGCCAACTTAAGATTTTTTAAATAAATTTTCATATTTAAAAAAATGGTTAAATTCTATTTTAATCGTAATATTTTATTGTCATTTGATTTATCTAAAAATAGCATCATTTTGGATTAAAAAAAATCAATCGAAATACAACATGGAAATTTATTCACTATATAAAAATTAAATTTACTATAAAACGCGAGTCAGTGCAAATAATTAAACATAAATGCATTAATATATTGTAATTGTATGCCAAGAGATGATTAGATTTACAATGATTAATTATAAAATGAGTCTTTTTTTTTAAAAAAAAAAGGGTTATAAATTTTAATAAAATTTATTCATATGATTAGATTAGATTAGAGTAGAGCGAGTTCCTATCAATAAACAAATATACTAACTTAGATATCTTAGGACCACTCTTTTTAAATATTTTTTAATTTTATGGCAAATAATTTATAATATAAGTTTTGTTTAGAAAGTATTTTTGGTCAAATTTATAATATTCAAATAAGAAAATATATAAAGCAAAAAATAATAATATTAATTCTGTAATAATTTTAGTTTGAGCTGATGAAAATAAATGAATGATTTGATCAATTAATGGAATGCCCCAATAGTGAATGTATTAACTATTTATTCGCAAACTATACAATTAATGTAGCAAGGTGTATGAGGATTTTCAGTTATTTATAGGATTTATGTTTTCCAAACGCTATTAAAAACTTCCATAAGAGTATCGTAAATCATGAAGGTTATCCCCACGTCTAAGCAAACTCGGCTGAGTCTAGGGACAGTGCCTTTATAAAACCTTTATTGCAATAATATAAATATTGTGAATATTTTTTTTATTTTTAAAAAGCATGTGACTTTTTAAAAAATATATAATAAATTGATTATTTAGGACTTACGCCGCTATTCCTTCGTGTTTAACTATTTTGAGAGCGCAGTCAAATGTACTCTTGTACTTACTAGCTTCTAAACTCTGAATAATGGTTTAAAATTATTTAAAATTAAATATTTTTCAAAAATAAAATATTAATTTAAATATTCAAATTGTATGCAAAAAGAAATCAGGTGTTAAACCTTAAATATTTAATGATTAAACAGAAATCTCTTTATATGCAAGCAGCCTAAACAAATATTTCCTCCATTAGAGAAGGTCATACGTCCTCTAATGACGGATGCTTCCCATTCAAAGCATAGCGTTTGGAAGGCGTCCCCATCTTAGCGTCTTTAACAAGAGTCTCATTTTATATTTTTTATAATGCAAGAAAAAAATATCTGAGAATGATAAGATAGAAATAGATGGCGACTATCTCCATAAATTGGCCTTAAATTTGAAAATAAAATTCATTTATAGCTTGCTCTCAAAACCTTAAACTAGTAAATATAAAAAACATCCTAGCCTTAGAATTTAAAATGCACATTATCACATAATGAAAAGAGAATGTATTATTATGTACAGGGTTGCCCATTCAAAAAAGGTAAAAGATGATACAAAAAAGATAAAAGATGAATCAAAAAAGGTAAAAGATGAATCAAAAAAGGTAAAAGATGAATCAAAAAAGGTAAAAGATGAATCAAAAAAGGTAAAAGATGAATCAAAAAAGGTAAAAGATGAATCGAAAAAGGATAAGTTCCACTCATAAAAGGAAACAGTCCGATAAATAAGATGAAATTCTTAAGAAAAGGGCCGATCAAATAAGAAAAAGGTCCGATCAAAAAAGAAAAGGTCAATTAAAAGTTTCAATTATAAAAGGAAAATCGTTATTTATTATATATTTAAAAAATTATTAAATTATTTTATCATTTTAATGATCCTGAAATATATTTTTCATTTTTTTTTTCTAACTTTTTGCAACGTCTCTTTAATATTATATCATTTTTAATCTTATTTTTGTCACCTAATTTTATCTTTTTTCTCATTCTTGCTTTTATATATTTTAATAGGTTACAATTGTTAACTTTCTTTTTCTTAAAAATACTTTATTCTCTTGTCATTTTTCTTTCCCATTTTATTTTTCATTTTTAACCATTCTTTTTTTTATCCTAATCTAACTAAAAATGTGGAAAACAAATCCGGGTTAACCTCGGATTTTGTAAAAAATATGGGGAATTTTATTTTTAGGTGAGACCAGGATTTTAATTTAATTTTGGTAAATTTCGGTCCAAGATTTGGATCCTGCAATTCATTCAAAGATTGGTATTGTAGTCGAATTGATTTAATTTTAAAAGTTATTAAACGATTGATTCATTTCCCGCATTTGTAATGAAATAGAGATGATCAAAGGGGGAAAAGAATGATTAAAAAAATAGAGATTTAAAATAGGAAGATCAAAAAAAATTAAGAATAAGAAAAAGAAAAGGAGAGATAAATTTATTTAAAATGTCATGAAATATAAAGAACGATCAAATTAAGCAATAATTTTTTTGACCCCTTTTTACTAAAACCTTTTCTTTGCACATTATAAACTTTCTATTTTTAATTGGTGCTATTCCATTTTTGATGGGTACTAATGTAAAAGCAAAAAGGTTCCCGGGAATTTCGGGCATATGCCAGGGAAATTCAAAATTTCCATCAAAATTCCCAGGAATATTTATTAAGGATATTAGAAAGTGATAAATCGAGTATATCATAAGTACCAAATTTATTTTCCATTATTTCAATAAAATAAATTGAATTTTTTTGGAGAAAGTGATCAGAAATATATACTACAACGTGTGAAGAAACGCAAAGAGTTTTGTTGCCAGAATATTCATTTCGGGTTAAACCTCGTTTCAATGATATTGAACTAATGGATATAATATGGTATGGCTACAGTTAATACCCTAATTGCAGAATTTAATCTTGATATCGGAGTTGTTTTATCCAATTCCCATCAAAAAGGGTTTAACCTCTGATATGTTAGAAGGGCCTTTGTATGCGCCAACCTAAAAGTATGATCGATAAAAGACTTTTATCGATTCCTTCGAAGATTGCCTATGGAGAGAATTTGGCCTTATTTTGGAAGAACCCATCCAAAATAGACTTATCAATAAATGTATGGAAAAGTTAATAATTTCCATAAAATGTAATTTATATCTACAACAGAAAATTATTGATAACTATATTTTAATCATCCAGTTTTTCAACTCCTGAAGTTTTATAAAATGAAAATATATCATCAGCAGATAGTGATATCATTACAGAAGAGCATAGTTAAACTCTTCATTCTTCGATTAATTTCATATATATATATATTTCGACCATTATAATTTCAAGTATTTATAAAAGGTTTATACATTAAAAATTAATATATTGCAGTTTAAGACTTCTTTTTTGGTTTTTATATTTAATATATCCAATTTATTAGAGTCAAACATGACTCATTTTAAACTAAAAAAATTTGTTAAAGCTTTTTGATCTTTAACCAATTTGGGACATTTTTAGAAAGTTCTTCAAAATGACCCAATGTTTCCTCAAAGTGTCCGGAAAATTCCGATATTCCCGGGAATTTCAGATTGGTAGACACTTTCCCTTTTTTTTCGAACCTTTTTCTTTTTAGATCGCTTTTTTTTGAATGGGAAACTATGTAATTATAATTTATAATATGAATATTAAAAATATTATAAATATCACAAATTTTTTTTAAAAAATAATATTTGAAAAAAAATCTCCACCTTTAACCAAAATTCTTTGAAGATTTTTTTTTGAAGAAGAGTGATTTTTGATCAAATTTTACATAAAAATGCCAAAATCTTTTAGAAGTAAATCTTTTGTAATTTTCACGAATAAAAAATTTTTCAAGATGAAATCAATATTTTAAAAAAATCCAAAGACATGATAGGGCAGACGTTTGACCTTGTCTATTTTCGATTATAATAGTGTATCTTTCTTTCAATTTATTGAAATCTATCCCAGCCAATACCTTTCTTTTCTTTAAACAGCTGAGAGACATTTTGCGAATTAACATGTTTAGTTTAAAGGGAATTTATAATTAAAATGTTATAAACAAAATATGGTATAATTAAATAAGGCAAAATATATTAAACCTGCATTCTAGTTTTAACCACATCGACGGGATTATTACCAAAGACTGAAGCGGCTCCCGCCACTGCGCCAAAACATCCGGTAATGAGCTTGTTCACCTTTTTTTTTGAATCTCCACCTCGGTACCTAATTTGAATTAATACTTGGTTATCCAATTCTTTCAATTTTTTATATCTTATATCATTTATTCCTTCTTTATATAAAAAAAAGTATGGTAAGACTTTTTTAAACCAATCTTTGAGAGTTTCCACTACGAAGAATCGAATAGCCTGGTTGCTGCCTTGCTTGATTATGGTGGCCGTCAAGCCCTGATAAATTCCACCAAAACCTTTAAAAAAAGTTAATATATGAATCAATGCATTCCGTAGATATAAATAAAATTTGACAAAACAGCTGTTAAACCACTCCCTCCCTCTTTCTTTTCCAAAAAACATATAAATCATTAATATTAAAAATGTACTAGCATTTATTTAAATAGACGGTGATAGTATTTTTTGGAGTGTGAAGTACTTTAACATTTAGCGTGAACTTGATAAGAAATGGATAAATAACTCGTATACTAATAACTTAAGGACCAAATGAACATATTTCAAACGATTGTATTAAAACAAGACACATTGAACAAAATTATGCAGTAACGAAAAAAACGCATAGGAAATATATAAAACGAGAATAGTGTAGGACGTTTTTACTACTATGGAATACACATAACCATAGAAAAATTAGATTCAGGTCTGGTCATATTATAAATATTATAAACACTATATTCGAAACTATATCCAAGTATTTTTTTTATAAAAATGATCTAAACAATATTGAGTTTTGATTAAATTTTGAATTTTAGCTGATAATTAAATCAGAATATTTTCGGAAGGGGTAGCTTAAAAATGTATAAATAAATTAAAAGAACAATTAGGAAGTTTAAAAAAAAAATTGGAATAAATTAAAAAATAAAATAAACGAACAAGTAAGAAAGCATATATTGTATAAATAAACGAATTCAAGAACCCAAACAAACCTTGAGTCTTTATTATAGTTCCCACGCCGTGAAAAAAGCCTTTGAACTTGGGTCCGGCAGGGTTCTGAATGTCATCTATGAATTTTACCTTGACCGTTTCCATGGGGGTAACGACGAGGATGGCCTCGCTAACACCGGCTCCCATTCCACAAAAGAATCTCTTAGATGGCGTAAGGTTACCAGTAACCGGGTCCGAGAAATGGTTTTTCAAGGCTTCAAAAGAACCAAATCTGTTTTAAACAAATTATAAATTTGTATTTTATTGATTTTTTTATTCGTTCATATAGAATAGATAAAGTTTCATGGCAAAATTTGCCTTACATAGAGCGTAAATACTCCAAAAATGGTGGAAAGCATTTCCATTAAAATCAAAATTTTTAAATTTAAATGAATTCAGCTTTGGTTATTTCGAAATATGAAACAATTTTTATAATTATAATAATTTAGTTTCTATAATTCTTTTAAACTTCTATTTTTTTACTCCCATTTTAATTTTACTCGAATGCGCAAATTATATATTTCTTTTATAAATAGTTATATATATATATAAAAATGGAAAATGATATTTTAAATCGATGTTAGAAGGCATGTTAGTGATAAATCATTGATTGATAAACATTAAAGCCATGCATCAAATCGAACTCAGTCAGTCAATCTGGACAATGATTTTAAAATATCCAATGAGACAGGGCCAAACTCGAGCTAAGTTTTCTCAGACTTGGGCAAATATAATTAAATTAATTCTCTTTCTGATAAAAAAATATATAATTTTCCTCGAGTGTTTTATATTAATTATAATTTACTAATTTTTCTTAAAAAATAAATAAATTATAAAAAATTTCAGAACTATATATTTTTTTAAAGGATCAGATCTTTTTAATATTTCAGGTCAGCTTGGACCTTCGAAAGATTTATTTTATTTATTTTTATATGGCTTATTCTAAAAATAAGTTCAAGGTCTCAAAAAATACAGTTACCCCTTTCATTTACATCGGTACAACTATTGTATTACCTTATTTCCTCAAGAAATACACAATGGGACTCTGGTAATGTCATTATCATATTGATTTTTCTAAAAAAAACGGCAACTTCTTTAAACATAAGATATGACAATGTCAAAGAGAAATTTTTTAATATTTACAAGAAATTAGGTCATAACACGTGATCATTTTCCATGTTTGTTTAATATATTTTAAAAAATAAATTGTACACATCTTTTCATAATCGTTTGCCACTTGCACTGTTGATTTCATGTTGTTCGCCACTTAGTGATTAATACATTGTTATTTATGAGGTCATAAACGATATTTTATGATTTATTTTATTATTTTTCTACAAATTTGATTGTGGATAAAGTAGACGTTTCTTGTCAAGCTATTTCTCTATTCTGCATCACAGATTTTCAATATGATTCAAATCAGTATAGAGGGAAATTAAAATCTAATATTACAATTCAACTAATTTTTTAGAATATTTTGGCGAGCAAGATAGCGCTCCGTGATGCCCCCACCCATTAACTTTCAAATCAATAAACCTTTAATGTGGCGTTTTGGCACTGATTTACCAGCTATCAGCTAAACTTCAATTGATGGTATAGTATATATCATTTCCATTTAAATAGTATAAATTTTTTGTAAGCAATTATTTTTTTTATAAATAAATATTTTAAGCAATAATTTATATTTATCTATAATTTTCAAAATTATAAATCAATGTCAGTTAAAACAACTCACGTCTTCTATTAAGAACTTGTTAACAGTTTTATAAAAGCTGTCTACAGGGGCAATTGATTATGAATAAATTCTTATTATGAATATCAATTTAGATGGTTATCAAGAACGAAAGTAAATTTAAAAAAAATATTTGGCAGTTTATATTATGGTGGAGATAGAGATAGATTTTCTCATTAATATTCAAATATAATTTTTTTTTTAAATGTTTATAAAGATCATTTACTATACTATAAGGTAACAATACTCATTGCTTAAAATGGTCATGTCGATACAGCCAATTTTCTAAAATTAGGATCAACACAAAATTTTTCAATCCTTTTCTCATAATACTTTATGAAATGGCCATGATATAAAATATTCCAGAGAAGCATCTGGGGTGAAATATCAGCTCATAGTTTCATTTTACGATTCCACTTATGGATATGCAAAATTATTATTTTAATAAAAAATGGCTAAATTAAGCTAACGTATAATAATATATATGTTTTTTTGGTAATGTAGTTCTCTTTTAACAAACTAGTCTCTTCTTGTAGTCTGATTTGTATTTTAAAAAAGGGATATTATATGCTTGAAAAAGGACACTAAGTAACTATAAAAAAATGTAGAAATTATTAACCCAAAATAAAGAAAAATAATGTATATTATTATTTTAAACTCTTATATATTGTTGATAAAAATAATAATATTAATGAATTATATCTTTGCATTTTTTTAATAATCTACACCATTATTATCTGAGGTTGGAGCAATCTGACCCTGCTAAACTGGCTTGTTTCTCAGCCTCAATCATAAAATATATTTTGTATAAGTTTACCCAGACCATAACAATTTTTTTATTAAGGAGAATGATATAATTATAATTATCAGTTATTAAAAACTTTGGCCTACTCATAAAAATATTTTGAACCAATACATACACAGAAAGCTTTCAGGTTTGGGCCATGCCAATCTCTAATCAATATTTGGCATTGTCCAATATCATTCTAATGTTGTATCAATGCATATCTAAGGTGTTTTAATCAATTTTTAACCAAAAAATATTATTTCACTTATAAATTCTCTAAAAAAATATAAACCTTTTTTAAAAAAGTATAATTTTAAGTTGATTTAGAATATTTCGCCTATTTTGATTTATATTAATATTTCAAATGATTGTATTTAAATATAAAATTGATATTTTTTCATTTTTGAATGTGATTTTCAAGTTTCAAATTTTGAATATTTTACTAGCAAATGATTAATAAAATTATTGACTTAGGTAGATTAATTAAATAATATATATAATTTTAAAAAATTAAATTATTTTTACCTAATACATAGCACTGATATTTTAGTAAAATAGATTTATATTATTTTTATATAAATTTACCTTACAGCTGATTTAGGAATTGATCCATAAAGCAGAACACTCAGTCCTCTATATAAACCCTTGACACCATGAGAATCGACCGTTTGTTTCACACAATCAATTATGCCTGAGTATCTTGGTTTGATAGATTTTTCATCCAACTGGAGTTGTGTTTTAACAAATTCAGTTGGGAATGTTATGCATATTTCAATACCTCCTGTAAAGCCACCTATTTTTTAAAAATTTATCTAATAAGTTATCTTATTTATATAATATTTAATGTAATGTATATATTTTATTAAACCAGCCACTATTCCTTTCAGGGTTTTTTGGGAAGGTAAAAATCCTGAACTATACAGTTTCATAGTTGGTGAATCACTTGGAATAACCATTCTTATTTAGTTATTTTATATATAAGTAAGCTAATATATATTTTATGATAACATAAACTTAAGTAAATAAATTTGGGCGATTACAAGAGAGAAAATATTTACAATCACACGCGATAAATCAGATGTTTAAATTTTTTAAATTTTATGAATGATAGTTGCTAATTGATATATCGTGATAAATAACGACCAATATTTGAAAAATATAAAATGGTAATTCAAACAAATTTAGCAAAATTATTGTGGCCGTTCAATACATTTTACTACATTTATTAAATTGCTAGTATAAAATGATTAAGAAAAAATTTAATTTGCCAAATTCGTCTAAGCCTTTTAAGGTGAACAAAACATATCTCATTTAATTTGAAATATCTAAAAAAAATAATTAATCATTTAAAATTTATCATATAGTTCAAAAAAATATTTCCTATCATACAAAAATTATTTTAAATAATATGGTATTCTTTGAAGATCTATATGTGCTAAACTGATATTGAATAAGGACTAAACCGGAATCTTGTCTAGTTATTAGGAATCCCTCCATTTGAACCATATATTAAAAGCGTCAAAATAAAAAATAGTCTTAAATGGTATAAACTGAGAATATGAATCATCATATTGGAATAAAATTAGTTCTTAGAGGAATCAGATCCATTAATCTTTCACTATTCATTTCATTAATTTGAATAAAATATTAATTTTTAAAAAATTTAGGATAATATCTAAGACAAAAATTAAAAAATCCTTTGTTATCTTCTTCTATTTCTTAACAATACATCAACTGTTTCCATTGAAATTTCAAAAAGGCGAGATTTTTAAAGAGCTCACATAAAAAAAAAGAAATTATGTAAAAATTATCATGAAAGTTAGAAGGATGTTCATAAGATATAATTCAGACAATGATGGTATAAAGGATAACTCGAAATCATGTAAAAGAAATTTTCTAGATGTTCTCACAACGGAAAATATTGATAACCATGTAGAATTTTTAACTTCAAATTATTGAAATATTTGAAAAAGCATATTTCTGACCGAGGCAAATTTATGGAACACAAGAGTTCGATTCTTTTACTACTTTAGGAAAAAAATTGAACTTAAATTATATTTTCAAGATAAAATTACCTTGAAAACAAGTTTTGAACCGCAGAACTGATTCCGAAGTATAAAGGTTTGTTGTTTTTATTCCTTTAGTTCAAAATAACAAAAATACATTTAAAATAAAATGTTTTCTCTATATAGATTAGAAACAAAAAGGTTAGGAAGTGTTCGAAATTCGAATAATGGTTTGTTCTCTCTTAATCTTCGGCAAAACACCGAATATCATTCAATTCTCAAAACGATGAAATTTAGAATACGTATATTTCTATATGAACAAAATATTTCTCTGTGGTGGCCCAAATAAAAAAATTTTTTTTTTAGCACGCTTAAATAATAAAAACCAGCCAATGATCTATAATCTCTTTTATAAATATCTTGTTTCAAATTTTTAAAAAAATACAATGATAATATATTAAAAAATTACAACTCATTCGTAATATTTTGCCACTATATAAAAATATGTATAAATGAAAGAAACCATCTACCATAAAATAACAGTGAGCATTTTATAAAAAATATTGGAAAGATCTCTGCTTGGGTATATCTCGTTCTTTTTCTGGAACAGCTTCAAAAATCAAGGGGATCTGTTTTCCATCTGATTCAAATTTTATTACAGCTGCCATATTCCCGCATCTGTAACAATAATTGGGCGCTGACCATATGGTAACGAGTGAGTTATCGAATATATATTTGTAACCTTTTTTTAATATCATATATCTGTATTGATAAAGAACAAATGAAAAGAGATTTATAAAAGAAATATGAGTAAACACTAAAACCTAATTTAAAGTCTTTAAAAATATAGTTTTTTAATATACAATTGGCTTTATGAAATAACGATTGCCATATTCGTAAGACAAGATTAATTTGTTAGAAAATATACACCTAAGTAACATATATGTGTCGAAATAGTAACTAGATAAGGTTAGAGCATGGGTATATAAATATAATCGTAATGCAATTTACCTTCGTTGACTAATTGATGAGCCCTGCAGATTAGCGTCAAATTATTGTTGTGGATGAACTTATATTGAAAATAAATTTAATTGGAAAACATTAATAGGAACTAGTATTTATGAACATTAAGCTAAATTAAATAAATGTTAGTTGGTTCCGCGGTAAAAAATAAATGTCACTATTCATTTCATTAATTTGAATAAAATATTAATTTTTAAAAAATTTAGGATAATATCTAAGACAAAAATTAAAAAATCCTTTGTTATCTTCTTCTATTTCTTAACAATACATCAACTGTTTCCATTGAAATTTCAAAAAGGCGAGATTTTTAAAGAGCTCACATAAAAAAAAAGAAATTATGTAAAAATTATCATGAAAGTTAGAAGGATGTTCATAAGATATAATTCAGACAATGATGGTATAAAGGATAACTCGAAATCATGTAAAAGAAATTTTCTAGATGTTCTCACAACGGAAAATATTGATAACCATGTAGAATTTTTAACTTCAAATTATTGAAATATTTGAAAAAGCATATTTCTGACCGAGGCAAATTTATGGAACACAAGAGTTCGATTCTTTTACTACTTTAGGAAAAAAATTGAACTTAAATTATATTTTCAAGATAAAATTACCTTGAAAACAAGTTTTGAACCGCAGAACTGATTCCGAAGTATAAAGGTTTGTTGTTTTTATTCCTTTAGTTCAAAATAACAAAAATACATTTAAAATAAAATGTTTTCTCTATATAGATTAGAAACAAAAAGGTTAGGAAGTGTTCGAAATTCGAATAATGGTTTGTTCTCTCTTAATCTTCGGCAAAACACCGAATATCATTCAATTCTCAAAACGATGAAATTTAGAATACGTATATTTCTATATGAACAAAATATTTCTCTGTGGTGGCCCAAATAAAAAAATTTTTTTTTTAGCACGCTTAAATAATAAAAACCAGCCAATGATCTATAATCTCTTTTATAAATATCTTGTTTCAAATTTTTAAAAAAATACAATGATAATATATTAAAAAATTACAACTCATTCGTAATATTTTGCCACTATATAAAAATATGTATAAATGAAAGAAACCATCTACCATAAAATAACAGTGAGCATTTTATAAAAAATATTGGAAAGATCTCTGCTTGGGTATATCTCGTTCTTTTTCTGGAACAGCTTCAAAAATCAAGGGGATCTGTTTTCCATCTGATTCAAATTTTATTACAGCTGCCATATTCCCGCATCTGTAACAATAATTGGGCGCTGACCATATGGTAACGAGTGAGTTATCGAATATATATTTGTAACCTTTTTTTAATATCATATATCTGTATTGATAAAGAACAAATGAAAAGAGATTTATAAAAGAAATATGAGTAAACACTAAAACCTAATTTAAAGTCTTTAAAAATATAGTTTTTTAATATACAATTGGCTTTATGAAATAACGATTGCCATATTCGTAAGACAAGATTAATTTGTTAGAAAATATACACCTAAGTAACATATATGTGTCGAAATAGTAACTAGATAAGGTTAGAGCATGGGTATATAAATATAATCGTAATGCAATTTACCTTCGTTGACTAATTGATGAGCCCTGCAGATTAGCGTCAAATTATTGTTGTGGATGAACTTATATTGAAAATAAATTTAATTGGAAAACATTAATAGGAACTAGTATTTATGAACATTAAGCTAAATTAAATAAATGTTAGTTGGTTCCGCGGTAAAAAATAAATGTCAGCAAGATCTCTTTTTTTTGTAAATTTTAAATATTAGTCGGATAGGCCAATAACATTCGTTCAAAAATTACTTAAATTAAAATCAGATATGCATCGACAATCAAGGTATCGATTTTTGGCAAATATTAATGCCACCCTCTAGGGGTTAGTCGAATAATTTTTCGTTTTATTTTTTCATTAAAAGTTTTTTCTTATATTTTTTTTGAAAATATATTAAATACTTTTACAATTTAATTTATCATAAAAATGGTAAGTTTTCTGTTTTTTTCCAGACTAATATTTAATTATTAAATTCATATTTTACCTTTTCATTTTATTCTAAAGAAATTTATATTTTTTTATATTTTCCTCCTGCAGACGCTTTCTGATAAAAAAAATAAGACACGAATTACAATCCAAAGAGAAAAAAGATTATTAATTAATAATTTTATTATATATAAATATATATCAGAATTGCAGGACCGGACAAAGGCCCAGCGCGAAAATATTATTTTAGAAATCAGGCCTAGTCTATCCGGGCCTGGTTTAAAAAAATCATATCAATGTGGAAAATCTTATAGTGGAGCGTTCAATATTCATTTGCTACTCATATTTTCAATTTCCATTCAAAGCAGTTTATTCAAAATTTTAAAAAATCTCAGAGCTAGGCTATAAAAATCTCTGGTCAATAGGCTTGAAATTTCTCAAATCCGGGTTTCTGATATATATTTTTTATAGAAAAAAAAAATTTCTTAAATTAATGGTGATAATGGATCCTCTTTTAAATGTTAAATCAACTTATATCACCGTGTTCCGAGGTATCTATCTTAGTTTCCTCGGGTCTAAATGAGAGATTCTTTTTGTTACCCCAACCCCTATTTGGTAAATAGAGTTCTTATATTTTTCTTGTTTTAAATTGTTTACATTATTTTTTAATCATTTTAATATAGTTTTATATATTATATTTATTAATATATTTTTTAAAATTTAACAAATATCATTTAACAGAAAAAATTAATAAATATTGTACAAAAAAATAAAAATTGATGATTTTAAATAAATTATGGTTAAGTTATTTATTGTCTATATTTTAATTCAATAATTCTTACTATATAAGTATAGTCTCAAGTATTGGTTGTATCGGCCCAATATCTGGCAATATTGGTGACAGGTATTAACCCAATATCTGAAGGTATCGGTTAGTATAGGAACCCTTCTGATTAAAATGTTAAGCTAATAGCCATATGACAAATCGCAATGGGTATTAGGAAAAACTGATATTATTGGTCTCATTTAAAAAAAACCAAAAATCAAAATATTGATTAGAATAAACAGTGATGGTAATTAATAAAATTTCATATTTAACAAAACACAATATAATTAATTATAACTTATATCAAAAAATTATAATTAATAAAAGATTTATAAGAGGTAAATTCAAATCATAATATTTTATAGGAAATATGAATTCGGTTATTAAACTACTAATGTGGTTAAAAGTTGCTATAGAAGTAACTTGTATTATATTATTTAAAATAACTAGTTACTTTCAAATAATTTAAATAACCCATCATTATCAATGTAGATTATTTTTTTTATTATATAAAATTTTTACAAATTTTAATCAAAGGAAATTAAATGAAAATATACTTTACATAAAGATATAATCGTACTGAAAAAAATTTACCATATAATTATTTGCATTGAAAAAAATATAACATATATATATATGCACCCAAAAAGTATATAAACAACACAATATTATATTTATTTATTTTTGAGTTTAATAAAATTAATTCTCTGACAATAATTAAAATATTTTTAAACTTTGTTTTAAAGGTTTGTTTAATTTTATATCAAAAAAAAGTTTCCCCAATACATGAGTTTTATGCAAGCCAGACATTATACTCAATAAATGGTAATTTTTGGGGAATCATGATATAAAGATAATAAATGAGCTATATATATTTGTTTCAAAGCATTTTTAAATGTAACTTGAAAAGTAACTAGTTACTTTGGTCGTTACATTTCAACTTAATACATTTTAACTAATTACCAGTTTAACAAAAAAAATTATGTTACCGTAAAAATATATGATACAATGATAGTACCTCGAGGGTGACTCTTTTGCCAAAAAGCCAGCCAGCTCCTCTGGGGCTTAAGCTCCAATTATGATTTCCATTACCACCCCCATGCATACCCCCCTGATCATACATCATATCGTTATTCATCATGTTCTTTAGTAGATATTTATATTTTCGTTATTTAAATATAATAAATTTATACCAAATATTTTTTTATATAAAAAATTAAAAACAGTTCAAAGATAAAATAAAATATAAAAAAGCTTCATAAATGACGTCCATTTAATTTATATTTCATTAATAATCGTCCATCTTATATATATAAAAAGAATTAGGCAAAATCTATTTCTTTTCTTAATAAATTTCAAATTATTATTTTTCTTCTAATAAATTCCATATAAATTTAATATTTGTTAACTGCGGCGTGAGAAAATTATTAGAAAAAATATGGATTTGCTAATTCATCTTTCAAATCAACGAAATTCCCAATGAAATCTTTTTCCTTTCGCTTAAATTTGGTTTGCACTATTTCAGGAAATATTATCAAACTAACACTTCTAAAAGAGGGCCTTATGAGCAGTTTGGAACAGCAACCACCAAAACACAGGGAACTTGGATAAATATAAGAACTGGAACTCTCTTTTCAAAATATTTCGGAATCAGGACCGCTAACAGACCCCATTTTTAAATTTTGAGTGGTCATTCTCAAAAGCGCAAGTAGTTTCTAAATTAGGGCTGCACCAATATTAAATATCGGGTAGGGCCGATATCTGTAAAAAAACCGATCCGATCTTTTTACTTTTCTTTTTTTTGTTATTTTATGTATATTTATTTTACATTAATAATATTTTCTAAATTATCTTTTTTTAAACAATGCAAATGCACAACACCCCTAAAATTTTATTTATTTTTTTTAATAAATTTATAGTATTTTAAATTTTTTTTATAAAAATAGAAAGGAACACCCAAAGTTTTATTTATTTTAAATCTTTTTAAAATAATAACTTCAATTTTATTATTTATACTTTAAATAAAAGATTATTTTAAAATATGGTATCTGAATTATGGAAATATTTTAGAAAAGATAAAGATAATTTTGCAAAATGCGTTATCTGCGGAATTCTAAATTTCACGGGGAGGAAAAAATTCATTTAATACTACCAACATCCATAAACTTTTTTTAATTATTCTAGAAATAAAAAAATTAAAATAAATGCATTTCGATTTTTTGCATAAAAAATATTGATTTCTTAATTACATTTGGTTCAAAGGGTAGTGGTAAAAAATCAATATAAATATGGGTCGGTTTTAAACCAATATCGGATCGGATAGGATCGGTGAAAAATATGTGGATCGGCACAGCCCTATCTATTCTAAATATGATATAATATGTTGTGTAATTCATTTTACAGGGTTTATATTGTTATCCTCAGAAACGCGTCATATTAAGGAAGCCAAACCTGGAACTCTCGGAAACGCGTCAAATTTAGGAATAAGAGCCATAACCCATTTTTCACAGGAACCAGAACAAGTACTTTTCTTTCGCCAAACTTTTAAAAAAAGTCATGCAAACACCCAGAATTTGATTTATGAGCGGAAGATCTATAATAGGAAAACAGATTTCTGCAACAACATGCCAAAGGAGAATTCATAAAATGGGATATTCGTTTAGAATTTTTTTATAAATTTGTCATTATTGCGACCTAACCTATTTCTACAATCTACCTTATAATATTAAAAGAATACTATCAAGGATGATTAAAAAGAATTGGACCCTGAAAGGGAATACGTTCCCCTGGGTGAATATCGTTTTTCGTTTCATAAATTATAGTAATGTTAGGAATCATGTAGTCAGAAATTTGTATGAAGCCTTTCAACATGATTGTTTAAATAAACTGTTAAATATCAAGAGAGCACAATGATATGGGATTTTATGAGTTCAAAATCTATTGGAAGTCTGGCTTTTGTAAATGGCATATCAAACACTTCGGATTTTATAAACGACATACCAAAAATTTTGAAATATTAATAAATATTAGATCATCCATTTCACCCAATCATCCCTGTATTCATTATGTAATGACGTGTATTTCAACAAGACGGAGTACCATGATAAACTGCATAGACTAAAAATGGTTATCTTATAGGAATAATATTTTGGATGGTCAGTAACTATCATTCATTTAAATTCAATTGAAACCTTAAGGATATCACAAAAAAAACCATTTAAGATAGTCCGCCTTACTACTAAGATAAATCTAAGGTATATTCTAATACACGGAATCATACAGTGATCTCCATAAATTCAATTACTAATAAAATAAACGACGTTATAAAAGGGAATGGGGATGGGATGTAACCAAGTATTAAATTCAACTTAAAGATTATTCATAAATAAAAAATTAAATAGACGTAATTTATAAAGTGTTCTTATATTTTATTTTGAACACATTTTTTATATAAATTATATACGTTAATATTTATGTATTTATAATATCAAATTTAAAAAATTTGGTCTCTAAATTTTAAATCACATAAAATGAGAGGTTTTATAAAGTATTAAGAAAAAAAATAGAAAAAAAATAATCAATTTGATAGCAAGATGGATAAAAAAGAGAATAAGAAAAGGTTTAAAGAAAACGAATAAATTAAAGGGCAAAAAACTGTTTCTGGATAGCAAGGTTCATTAGGGTCAGACCAGACAATGTCGCAGAAAGGTCCTCGTTGAGGTATTTCTTGGCACCTTTTTATGGTTCGGATTTGGTCAACTGTTTTTATTGAAGGAGATAATCCTCCATGGATACAAAGGATTTTGTTATCTATAACCTATTTATTTTGTTTTCATAATTATTTTCTTTATCAATTTTTAACTTTCTTTCATTTATTTCTTCATTTGCTCCCTCTTCATATTTTCTTTTTTTTTCTTTCACGTATTTTTAAACAAAAGTTACACATCCATTATTTAATTCCTACTTTCTCTCATTCCAGATTTATTATTTTCTTTTCTGAATCTCTTACTTTCTCTTTCCTAATATCTTGTAATGATGTTAAACCCATATACTTAGCTTCTCAAAATATAATAAATATTTATCAAATTTACAGCTGCGATGGTCAAATAGTCGAACAAATTTGTAATATATTTCCAGGGGTTAGCGTTTCCGTATTTTGCTAAACATTCATCTAAGTTATAGGTCATTTGTTTTAAAGCAATTTTTCGGTGTAAGAAAGTTATTTTAAGTAAATATAGCAGCCTAATTATAATGTTCCATATCCAATTTTTTGCAATTTTAAATTGATATCAGCACTAATTCTTCTATATCCACAAAAAAATGTTAAAATATAATTTAGAATGATTCTTTATTTGTAAGATTATATTGTAATATCCAAACTAAAATACAAAAAATAATAAAAAAAAATTCAAATGCTCTCTTGAAAAATTTTAAAAAAGGATATAGAACATTATAATACTCAGCAAATGATATGTATTTATTATATCAACCATAAAATCCATAGATTTTTGTTGTTTGTCTGCTTTCATGGTTCCCTCTCAACAAAACAATCTTATCGGGCCATCTGATTATTAAACATTGTAATGAATAACTATTTATATTCATAATATTACATTATAATCGAATATGAATTATGGCATAAAGATGAATAAATATATTTTTTTAAAAATTACACTTTTATTTTCTTCTAAAAATTTTGAAAAAGTTGCTAAGCTAAATTATATCAAAATTTTTAATAAATCAAATAATTAATCTTTAAAACGTTGCAACAAAAATATTCATTTTTTTATAAACATAAGCTGAGTTTGAACAAAACCCATGTCAGGCCAGGCCAAAATTTTTTAAAAAAAAAAGCCAGTGGTCAAATGATACTTGTAAACCTGGCCTGGTATGTATTTTAATTTTTTTAAATATATCTGGGGGCCTAAAATATTTTTTTTTAAACACTCTGGCCAGGCCAGGCCTAAAAATTTTTTTAAAAAAAATACCTGTCAGGTTGAGTCGTATATTTTAAATCGCCATTATTAGCTATAAAAATTAAAATAAATTTAATATATTTCTAAAAAATCCAAGCCGGGTATAATATTTCATAAAAAATCTGGGCTGTGCAAATGATATATCTGCAGGTTTCTGATATATATAATGTGTAATTTTTTCTAAGGGTCTCCTTGCCCACACCTTCTGGGTGTCCTGGATATTATTTTCTATAAAAAAATTATATAATTTAATATATTTATCAACATAAATATCATATAAAATTAACCATAAAAACAAAAATATGGGGTCAGGCTTTTGGGCTGGGCAGATTTCTAATATCTATACTCAAAACAATAATTTTTTTTTTATTTTGCTATTAGCCAAGTTTAATTTTGGGTTATAAGAAAATGGTATTTGACTAAGTCCTGTGATAAAACCCTTATAATAAGGCATATAAAGCACATTTTTCATAAAATTGGCAAGCAGAAATAAACATATTTTGATATAACTGTAGATTAGTTTTATTTGTATATATTTGAAATATAATTATAACAAGATTTTTATTTAATTTTATAGATTATTTTTATCTTGTGGTCTATTCATATAATATAATCCAAAAAAATTCAATATGTATATTATTATAGACAAAATTAGTTTTTAAAAAATTACTTAGCTTTCAATACTAATAATTTGGTCATTGTTTCTAGGCTGTAATATCCTCTATCTACAAAATCTCCCTATAAAAACATTTTTATATTTTAGATGCAAATTAAAGCTAAAAGTTAAATTGTTCATGTAATAAAGAAAAGAAAATGTATATGTATAATTTACCAGAAATATATACTTAGTGTCAGGGATTTGACCAGATTTCCTAAATAATTCTTCAAGATCATAATACTAAAAAATATCCATGTGTATAAAAATAAAATATAGGTACTTGGCCATGTATGTCTCCACATACTGTCACAGGAGTGCTAACAGCTTGCACATTTGGTTCTTCAATTAATATTTCACATACAAGTTGACAAAGTTTCTTTTTAAACATGAAAAATAGAATTATGGATAAAATTATTATAAATAAGTTACCCTGAGATTATTTTCAGACAAATATTTACATAGTTTTGTTTCTTCAACAAAAAGATCCAAATCAAACTTCATCGATGTAATTAAACTGAGAATTGACAGGCAAACTGGGATGGACAGATAAACTGAGAATTGACAGTTTTATAATGTATCAATTATATTTCAAAAATACAATTAAAATATTTTTATTATATAAATCAAATTTATCCAAAATTAACATTATCTAAATAAATAAATTAGAATATACAATGTAGTCCATAAATTTATAATATGTATAGAACAGATATATTATATAGGAAATATAACACCCATAATAAATTTTTTAAAATCATAAAATTCCGCTAGATTGCGGAATTACCTGCTCATTAATTTATTTGAAATAAACTTATATAATCATAGAATAAAAAACATTTGAAGTTTCCATCATTGTTTTTCAAGTTATGATGTCCTCTTCAATTTAGTCATTCTTATTTAGATTATAAAATTCTTAAAAATATATTATATTTTTGGCTCCTTCTGTGTAAACTAACTTATATAAACATAAAATAAAAAAAAATTAGACCCATCATAATTTTTGGTTATGATTTCCATTCTCAGTTTTGTCATGTTTTTTTTAGATATTTGGGTTTTAAAAATTTATTCTTTTTACTCATTATATTTGTTTAAATTTTATTGAAATAATTCAGAAAAGTGCCAGTTATCACAATCTTCGTTCTTTAACTTTCTTATTTTCTTTGAGAAATGTGTTGGTGCCATTTTGCGAAACAAAAAAAAATGGCAATTTTTATGTTTATAATCATTGTCCACTTTATCCTGGTTAAAATATGATAAAATATGCAAAGTGATCACACAAGAGGGTTGTAACTCATGTTAATTTCTAAACTTTTAGAATATGGATTCCCAATCTTATTCCCTTAATTAATTAATTTTAATTCTATATCTATTAAAATGTATAACCTTGCCTTCACATTTGGCAAAAATTTTTGTATACTCACTGCAAAATCGTGATGAGTCTAAATTCAAGGTACGATTTTTATGAAAAGAACTTAAAAACCATATGAATATTATTTATCAATATTATGCAATAAACATTTTATAAATTTAATGTTAATTGTATTCTATAAACATATGGCAAAAATAAATTACAATCTAATTAAACCCATTGTTTTAAAAAAAAATCAAAAAACCTTAAAAATATATTTTATTGTCACTTTTCTATACTACATCTTTATGAAATTTTATTTATGCATGTTTACAATCTATATTATTACCCATTAGTTCTAGAAAAAATTCAATAACTTTAAAAATAACGTTATGATAATTGTCATTTATCTATGGTACATCTTCACTAAATTTAATTTAACATGTTAGCAATCTATATTTTTGATCATTTGTGTCAAAAAAATTCAAAAACTTTAAAAATAATGATTATGATAAATGTCACTTATCCATGGTACATCTTCACTATATTTTTAATTTTTGCCCATTTGGTTCAAAAAAATTCCAAAATCTTTAAAAATAATGATTATGACAATTGTCACTTTTTTATAGTACATCTACATAAAATTTTAATTTCACATGTTTACAATCTATATTTTTACCCATTTGCATCAAAAAAATTCAAAAGTAAAAATAAAGATTAAGACAATTGTCATTTATATAGGGCACATCTTCACTGAAGTTCTATTTAAACATATAAGCAATGCTTTATTTAGACGATTTACGTTAAAAAACTTTAAAAATAACGATTATTACAATTGTTACTTTCATATGGTACATCTTAATTAAAATTTTAATTTAACATGTGAAAAATACATATTTTTGCCAATTAGAGTCAATAAAAAATCTAATATGTATAAAGATACCGTTTATGATAGTTGCCATTTTTCCAAGGAACATCTTTAGTGAATTTATAATTTAGCATCTTTATAATATAAATTATTTTTTTACACTTTTGTTTCAAAAATTGTGAAAAAATAATGAATATAATTGGCAAAATAAAAAATAATATTACAATAGCAGCATATCATTTTTTTCATTAAAAAAACATCAAATAAATAAATCCATTTCCATAATATAATCATATTTTATTTTATAATATAATAATATAAATAAAAATTATTAAATCATATATGTTTTTTTGTTGATAATAATATATTATTAATATAATAAAGAAAAATATTTTACTAAAAATAAAAAAATAATAATTAATGCTCGGTAGAACAATAATTCTACAAAATTATATTCTTAAGATGTCTCAATCACATATAAATAAATTTCGGCTCTAAATTGAACTCAGCCAACTCATAAAGCAGCCGACTCATATGTCTCAATGAGCTGGCATGAGCCTGAGTCAATTTTTTGGCTAGAAAAACTTGATGAGTAACTAAGTCGACCTCGCTCAGCAGTTTAATAACACTAATCACTAACAAATTTCGGTTAAAAAATCGGCTTGAGCTAATTCCTGAGCAAGCTTGAACTAATGCCTGAGCCGGCATATTAAGTCCATGTTAACAAAATTTGCACTAAATTAAGTTTAAAACCCTGAAGCCGAATTCGGGTCCAGAACCATTTTTAGTTTCGACAAAATATTCTTGTTATAATTTTTGTTCACAATCAGTAACTACCAAAATTTAGCAATTTACCAGACATTTGAGTTAGCCCTTTATATAAATCGATTATAATTAAGTCGTTTTATAATACAAATAAAAAATAAATATCAGAAATTATAATTTACTTATAAATAAAAAACTAAAAAATTGTGCCGACCCAGTAAGCCGACTAAGCGAGCTGTCTTAGTAAGCTGACTAAATTAGCCGAGTCGGCTCATGCGGTTCCTTAATCAGCTTGAGTCGAAGCCGTTTTTACGACTAGAGTTGCAAATCGTAAGAACTCGACTTTTTAACAACACTAATCATAACTCGAAAAATAATTATGGAAACTTCAAAATTTTTTTATTTTATTATTATATAAGTTTGTATCAAATAAATTGATCGAGAAATATGCTTCTATAATTCATAATATTTTTAATTAAAAAATAGATTTTAAATTTACGCTATCTAACAGGAATTTATTTATGATAATTTTATTATGGGTGTTATAATTTTTATATAATATACCTGTTCTATAAATATTATAAATTTATGGATTACTCTTTTTCTGTATTTAATTTATTTAGATAATTTTAATTTTGGATAAATTTGATTTATACAATAAAAACATTTTATAATTTTTTAAAATATAATTGATAGGCTATAAAATAAAAATAACGTTAAATAAGGACTATTGCTAATCTCTTACCAGTCCAGAAATAGACAAATTAAAAAAAATAGAACTTGATATATAAATAAGTAATAATAGTTTTTGAATATGTAATAGTAATTTTCTTATAGGCTCAATGATTATATCATTGCATAGGCTTGTCTTGTTAGGTAAATGCAAGTATATTATTACTAAGAAACATAACTTCCTATTCTTTATAATATTTATCAAAGGAAAAACTTTCTATTGAATAGCTTCAACAATAAAAGAAATTTTGATTTTTTTTCGTCTGAAAAGGAGTCTGAGGGTTTTATGTAACAAGTTTATAAATATCTTCTCCCTAGTTAGTCTCAGCAAGGTAAAAAGCATAAAATTTAGGGAGGGAGGAGGGGGGAAGTTGTATGAATTGGTCCCAGCGTGTTACTTTTAAATATTTTTTTCTATTCACAGGAATGACGCACCCTCATCGATAAAATTTATATGTGAAAAGCGGGGGAAAGGTTTGAAAATCAATTAAAATTAATTCCCTGATAGTGTACTTGTCTTATATTTTAAAGCTGTTAAATAAAATATAAATGATGTGCAAAGGTTAGAAAAATTTAAAAAATTTTGTTGTATACTTTTCTTCAAAATTTGTTATTTCTGGAGCTTTATATAAAAAATAAATAATTAGAGTATTAGAAAACTAACATAATCAAATATTGATCATTGAAGAATGACAACAAAATAAATTATGAATTCACGAGATAAAAAAACAATTTTCCGCATACATTATTAGTCAGGAATATCACTGCATAATTCGTAATTCTTTTCAGAACCGGTCGGGTGAGTAAATCATTTATGCTCTCTAAAATAAATTTAACGTTTTGTAGATTTATATTTTTCCATCTATGTAGTAATGTAACATTCTAAATATTTCAGTTAATACATCATTTCTGGGACTAAAAAATCTATAATTTTCTAAAAAGTATACTTTATCAAATTTAATTTATTCTATATTCTTTCATAATTTATATTTATATAGTAAAATATCACAGATTTGATTTTATAAAGTATATGTAAATAGAACAAAATATAATTAAGATTATTACAAATAATAAATCTGTTATATTTTAAAATATTTTTAAAAAAATATATATAAATGCTTTTTGAGATATGAGATATTTAATTTTTGAATTTCATACTATATAAAAATACTTATTTTTTTGGTACATTGTTTATTTAATTGTATAAAATTAAAAAAAATAAGGAATTGCAAAATGAAGAAATTGGTAGTTTTAAAAAAAAAACTTGCAAGTAATAAAAAAAAGAAGATTGAAGAATACAAAATCGTTTGATTGAGACTTTGTAAAATAAAATTTTATATATCATTTGTAATTGGATAATAAAATACATTTAAAAATTTAACTGAGAATATAGAAATTGTTTGATAGGGTATATTTTTAGAATTCTTTTATATGATCAGATTTTTTTTGATTCAATTCAAATCGGCTTCAAAGTCAAAAGTTGCTTGAATCGTTAGAATAAAAGGACCCTCTTGAGCTGGTAAGTAAGTAGAAGGAATGATGTCAAAAATTTGGGATTCGTTTTTCAGCTCCGAGCCACCTACTTTAAGTATACTAAATCCAGACCTATTTTATATTAATGAAATAATATTTCTATCATTTAAAAGGCCAATATCATTTTGTTCTAAGTAAATCCGTCCTCCTTTATATCATTTATATACAGCAACGTAGAAATGGGAACCCCCCCCCCCCACACCCATGAAAAAAATGAGACAAAATTTTTTTAATTTTAATTCACAAAATTAATAATATAAATGCCCATATGTTTTTAACTCAAAAATAATTTTGATCTACAATATTAAATTTTTAAAATAAATTTTAAATTATCTTGCAAAAAACTTGTCTAATTTGTCATATTCCTTTTTTAAAAAATCAACTTTGTCAATTTCATAATGAAGAAACTAATTTATTCCTATTTCAACAAATGTTAAGCACATATATGCATGCCACTATTAAATATAAAAGTATCAAAGCTACAACCAATAAGTCTCATATTTTAAAAGATGATAGGATTTTTTATAATAATAATAAAAGTAAAATTTTTAGATATTTTGTATATTTATTTTTTTTAATTTGTTTTTGTGCTTCTAGAATCTTCGTTCCATCTTATGAGATTTAAATTACTTCTATATTTATTTAACAAATTGAAAGGTAAGAATAACATCAATGAAGATCATAGAATCATAAAATTCAAAAATATCTTGAATCGGGGAAAAAGAAACCTTAATGTATTCAGAGGAAATTGATTTTTGAATCGTAATTTAAAATTCGATATTTAAGACTCTATTGACTGAAAAAACTGATAGATGGACTTAGTGAGTACTAATAATGCATTACATATTGTCCATTGCTCCTATTATTTTCCATACAGCATGAAGTCAATATTGGCGATTTTTTTTATTTTGCCAAAAATGTTTTTCTTTACTATCTACTAAACGGAGTGAAGAACTTAAGAAGTATGAAATACACACTAATTATTGACAAAAATTCCCGAGATAATGCTTCCAGATGTTTGGCTAACTTTATGCTTAAGACATGATGTCACAGTTAGTTTTTGGTTCATAATTCTGTTACTTTTTAATGGCTGGCGAAATTAATTAAAGAATTAATAAGGCACTAATTAATAACGCAAACCATATCGTTAGAACTTCTATATTCTGAGTTCTGGCGTGAGGCTTATTTTGAAAATTTTATCATTAATTCTTTTTCTTTTTAAACCAACTATTAGACAAAATGAAGCAATAAAACATACTAATAAATCTATACATGGTTTAATATAGGTTTCAGAATTAGTGTTTCCAAAATTTGGCCCACTTCTATTAGTTTTTAACTATCTTTTTGTGGTTCTATTATTTGAGTGAAGAATTGAAGGTATTAGTCAGGCATTAAATATTAGCGCATGCCAGATATATAGTTTTTTATATTTTAGCATTATATTAACTACCTCTAATTATTTTTAATATAATAACATTAAAAAATTATCTATTATTAAATTAAATAAAGTATAATTCTTAAATATTATTGCATTACTATTATATATATATATCTAGTAATAATTCTAAAGACTTGGTTATAGCATAAGAAATATAAATAAAATTTAATTAATAGATACTATAAATAAAGGAAATTGAACATGTAGACAACAATTCAGCACCAACTGTTAAATTTTGCATATCTGTAACCACTCCTTCATGATTTATTCGCTGTTTAATTATTATTTTGCATTTACATCATAGTTCTAGTCATTTATGGGGCTGTCAGATTAGATTATGGTGCTATGGTAAAAATTGCGAATATTTTTTGCATTTAGTTAAACCAAAGTTAACCACTAACGCTTATTTCTATGTTGTAAAATAATATTTCTCGACACTGATTGTATTGATAAAAATAATCTCGGTCTTTCAATATATTCAAATATCTGTAACGAAACTCCTATTTCTTCCTTAAATGCATCTATTGTTAATATTATATGTAACGCCTAAAATTAAGATCGGCTTCTCAAGTATCTTCTTCTATAATACTTCAAAACTTTCTTTGTTTTCCCCCCATATCATATTTTTCTTTAACAAATTATATAACGGTGTAGCTACTTCTGCAAAATTCGATATTAACCTATGATAATAATTGGTAGCTCCTAAAACGAGAGCAATTCCATCTTACTGCTTGATGCTAGCATGCTCATAATTTTTTCCTTTTCTATATTTTTATAATGGCCGCAATTTCAATACCCATATACAAAACGCTTTTTTCTCTATTAGCTCTAAGACCATTTTCCAAGATTATGTCTAAAACCTTAATTAGTCTCATAATGTGTTCTTATTCTGAACTAACTGTAATATATTATCTAGATAATATATTTTTCCATTTAATCCTTGAAAAATAGCTGACATAGCATTTCGAAAAATCTGAGTTGATATCTTTAACTTTAACCCAAAAGGTAATCTACTAAATGCAAGCAATCTACAAATTTTGTAAAAATCGAACGTTTTAAAATAATTATTATTATATAAAATAAAATGTTTTTTTATATTATTAATTAGAATACGATAGTGAAATTTGTATTATAATAAATTAAATTTGAAGATGCACATTAATATAACAAAATATAGCGAATTGATATATATACTAATATCATTTTATAAAAGATTATAATCTTTTTTTGTGTGTCTTAAATAAGCAAAGTTTTATTAATTAATTTTAAAAATTTAAGTACTTTAGGTTAAAATTCAATTAATTTATTTATTCTTGATTAGCAGAATTTACATTTATTACATGTAATATGTATGGTAAAAGAAATTGTTATTAAAAAACAATTTGTCAATATAAATTTGTTCTAAAAAATTTTTCTCCATTTTGCACTTAAAAAATTTTCTTAGCAATTTTTTTTAAATATTAGCTTACCGAAAAGGGCCGGAAGAAATTTTGTTGATACGCTTATTTGATTCTTTATCGAAGGAATACAAGTCTATACCTATACTATATTCTCTATATGTTTTCATATAAAATTAAAATAATTGTTCTATAATAAAATTAAAATACAATTTTAAAAAAAATTCATTTAAATTGTTAAAATTTAGTTATAAATTTTTTTTATACTTGGGAGCTTTAAGAGTTACCAACAATTGGTGGTTATTAGAAGAAATATTGATTTTTTTAGTAATTTTGAGCCTGTAACTTGGATTTAAGTAATAAGTCTCAGGGTTATTGGAGCAACCACCAGCTGTGTAGCCTTTCCAACTATTGCTAAACTATCGAGTTAAAAAAAATATATATATAATAAAAACAAAATTCAATAATGATATTTTTAAATTGTATAAGATAAAGTATGTTTTAAACGTCTTTTCCTAAAAAAATATATTTTTAAACAATTGATTCAATATTTTTATAAGGAGTTCTTGATTTCCATTTATAAAGTGAACAATAACATTAAAATTTTCAATCAATTTCAAAAAATAGTCATCATTTTATGGAAAAGTAGTTATATTCTAATTTAAAATAATAATAATAATAGAAACAATAATATTTTATGAATTCTTCCGTAAAAGGAATTAACTATAATTTATACTTCTTTAATATGAGTATATGGGTCTTCAATCTTAGTTAAAGTGAAAGGAAGCGTGGAATAAACTCTCAGTGTGTAATAGATAGTGTTACATTTTTCGTACTCTGAAATGACAAGCGTATAACTTTTCGGTGGGGTGACTACCATTTTACACAAATAGTGAGGGGAATTTATTCTAACTCCGTCTATGAAAGGTGGAGGGTCGTCTAGAAATTGTGCGTAAATTTTTTTAAGAATATTTTTTTTTTAATTTTTCTTATTATGATTCTAGCCTTCTTCCCTTTCCTTTTCTTTCTAAAAAACATTATTTTATATGTTTGATCCCATAAATTTTCCCCAAAACAAATAACTTTTCTTACATGGGTAATATATCTTCTCCCCATTGGTATTGTAAACCAGAACCGTTATAAACTCTTTGTTGCAAGCAAAATCTTCCTACAAAAAATTATATTCACTTAAATAAAGAAAGAATTGAACGTTAAAAAAATTATTAATCAATAAATATTTTTATTTTTGTTTAAAACATAAAGTAATTAAGAGAGAGAAATAGAAATTGTTTTATAGGGATCCCAATAGATTATTGGTTATAGAACGAAATAGATTTTAAGTGTTTTTCAGGTATTTACATACGTGTAGCCAAGAATTTGATAAGGGGGGACTATCCGGTATGTTTTCTCCATAAATATTATTGAGGCCTTTAAGTCCATTTATTGTAGGCCTTTGGCTAAATTTAAATTTTAGGTTCTCACTCTTTATAAAACTGATTATTTTCTAAAATTTTGAATTATAGTCTATATTTTAAAAAGTTATTAACTTTTAATAATTTTTCTTTCAAATTCTTATATATAGTAATATATTGTATACATTTTTGGGGGAGATTGGGTTAGAGCGTGTAAAGGGGAGATTTTTATTAGCTTAAATTATATTTATGAGAATGGGCAAATTTCCGGGGAGGGGGAATTCTCCTTGCCCCACCCCCGACCCTGGCTAGCATGTATTTGCTACCTCTATCGTTTTTTCAGGATAAATTTTTTCGTCAAATTTTATATTAATATTGAGAAAGAGGTAAAATTTTTATAATATATAATTGATGTATACATAAAACTAATAATAACAAAAAACTGTGAAATTCATAGATAAGAAGGTAAGATGGGAGTTAAGAAATTTTATAATTTAAAAAATGTATTTTATAAACTTTTTCGGTAATGTGGCGTGTGAGTAAGACCCAAATGGCTCCCTCATTAATTTGAGTAAGTCCTTCCTCCGTGGTGTGTTGTTCTATACACAGCTTATACTGAGGATTTCCCGCCAAAATATAAGTATCTTTGAAAGAAGTCGGTTCAATATTAGTGATAGGTCCTTGATTGGGAGACTTAGACCACATTTCGTGGCGACAGGTAGTGAAAGGAAAGAGAAGGGGGTCCCAGTTGAGGTAAAATACATCGAAAAACTTCCTGACACTTTTCCAGTCTATCCAAAACAGACCATCATCCTCACCTCCTTTCGAGTCGGGGTAGGGTAATTCGTTTTCCTATGTATAAAATTTGTGTAATTTGTTTTTTATATTTTATTCATTAATTCATTCTTTCTTAATTTATTTTCACTTTGTTCTTTTCTTCCTTCCTTAAATTTCCTATGGATAAAATTACACTATGATCTAACCGTAGTTCCTCGTATAGTTATATCATAACTGAGGGCCTTTTTCAGTTTTGGTCCCAAAACGGGATCTTCCCAATGGGTTCTATCGCTTTCGCTAAAATTCCCTTTCCATCTCACATGGCTCCAAGGGTTTTTAAGGCGGAACAATTTGTAACCCTTTAAAAAATATTATTAAATAAATAAATAGAAACAGATAATAAATATAAGAACATAAATAAAAGAAGCAGCGAAAAGAAAATAATAAACAAATAAAAGTCAGCAAAAAAATCCAAGAAAAAAAATAAAAACAGAATATAAGTAAAGAAATGTTGGAACAAGTAAATTCCATAACGTTCATTAATTCAAACAAAAAAACTTATAATAGCAACTCCGAGGCATTTTAATGCAAGCCAAATTGTAACACTAGAAAAGGGGAAAAAAATAATTTTAAAAACCTCAACTTTCCGAACGTCTACTAAAGCATAAGCGTGAGTAGCTATAAGACCCGTTCTTTCGCTTTCCGTGTTCGTTAAGGCCCCTTTAAAGAGTGAATATATTTGATATTATTATTATATGTAAAAATTATTAAATAAAAAAATGAAGATATGAATGAGGATAAATGAAATGAATAATGAATAAAAAAATAAAAGAAAAGAATGTAAATAAGAATAAATATTAATCAATCATTAAAACCAGTCGCTAAAGTGACCAGTAGATCTCCTTCGTGAAACTTTTTAAGCAACATTTCCCAGAATTTTTCGTCTTCCATTATTCGTTGATGACTCTGACTTTGTGATTTGTCTATCGAAACCTTTATTTTAGAATTTTTAAAAAAATGCTAGAATATTAAAAAAAATTCTGCAAATTTACAATATTCACTTCATTCATTCTTTCTTTCTTTTCATTTGTTCTTTTTTTAATTTTTTCGATCTTTCTTTCTATAAAAAATATTTTCATTCTTTTTTTAAAAACTCTTTCTGGTATCCATCCAGTTAAGCAATGCAGATCTATATTTGAATTCGATCCAGGAAAATCGTATCTATATGTTTTTAAATTAATTTTATAATAATGAATAATTCTGAGTAAATAATTTGAATTGATTTACAAAAAAAAATTAAAGCAACATCCTATCTCGTCTTAATTTTAGTTCTTAGTTATGAATAGAGCATTCTATTAAAAAAGCTAATATCACTCCCTTTTTTTGATTTTAATATTATAGATTTTGAAATAAAGTGATTGATAATATCAAAATACGTTATTTTTTTTAACTTTAAAAAATATCCCATTCAGATGGCTATTTATAACTCCAAAAAGAAAAAAAAGATTAAACGTATCACAATAATTTATATGCTAAAACAGGATTTTCAAGTGGAGAAGGTAGGTTAAGGTTTGCCCTCACCCTCCGTTCGCTATGCAACCTATTTTCGATTTAAATTTATTCTGACAAAAATTGAAAAAAAATATGCCTTTAATACGAGAAGGATAAAAAAATGAAAATATATAAGTATCTTACTTCAAGATAAATTTTCATCATATCTAAATACTGTCATTCTCATTAATAACCTTTTTTCACCAAATTTCTAAAACGAGCTACAATAATTTAAGAAGAAATTAATATTATAGGAAGTTTGGGGCAAAATTTTTTTTAATCAATGAAAAATTTCATCAAAATGTTATATATTTATTATTAATCTTTTAAGATATGGAAAAAGCTGATCAATCGAATGAAGTAACTTAATCATATTTAAAGAGCAAATGGTGAACTAATTTCCTTTTGTAAGGCCGAATTATTATATTTCTTTAATTGAGAAACTTGTGAAATTGTATATAATAAATTGTATCATAAACTTAGTAAAAGAAAATAAAAGAATGGAATATATTAATAAAGAATATCATTTTAAAGAATCAAGTAAGAAAAAAACAGGAAGAGGTAAAATAATTTTACAGATAAATCGTAACCTCATTCAGATCACAAAATTAAAAATCACTTTTATTTATTTATTTTCTTTAAAATTAGGAAAGAGAAATGAGGAAAAAGGAAATAAAAAAATTAATTTACCCTCCCATGACTTTTAGATACGCCTTCTCCAAGATCGACACCCAAAATTCGTTAACGCTGAGTCCTGTGAAGGTTCCATCCTCTCGGTTGTTAATTTCCGCTATCAAATCAATTAACATTATAAAATAATAATAAATCTACTTATAAAAAGACTAAAATTATAATATGTATTTTAAACACTTAGTATCAATTTTAATATAATTCTTATTTAATAGGAAAAATGAGCAAAAATATTTTAAAAAGGTATCCAAAATGTGTGTGTAAATATATATATAGGCACCCTTAATCCTTTCCTTGGTAGATCCAACACTGTAAGAGCAAAGGGGAAAGAGGTGCTTATCGGCGGGTAGCGTGTCGTCGACGACTACTTTCCGGTGCACGCCGTTCAAAAGTAACTTGACCACGTATTTTCCGCATGGGTTGTATAATGACCGAAGACCGGCCCGATCCCGAGGGTAAATCAAGTTCGATATTAGCGGTCTGTAACGCCTTTTTGCGCCTCGGTTGGGTAGCTTGAAAATTTTTATTAAATTATTATTTTTGTTTTGTATTTTCCATTCATTCTTAATTTTTCTTCCCCCTTTTCTCTATTTATTTTTTTATTTTTGAAACAGATTGATAATATCATTTAATTATTTGTTATAAGATTATTCCTTTTTTTGAATAAGAGCTGGTAAGGGAAATTGGACCCCCAAAAAAGTGAATTTATTCTTTCATTCAATTATTTGTTACCTTTCCTGTTGTTTTTTTTTAAAAAAAATTATGGGAGGACATTTTCCTAAATAGGTTTTGTTTAAGAAATTGTTTAGATTTTTAAAAATTTAAGTTTTCGTTAATTGTTTTTTTAGTACAATTTAATGGGATAGAAAAAAAATGTCCGTAAAAATATTTTGATTAACGGGTCGAGCTATTATACAAAAAAAATGATCGGGCCGGGTCGGGCTGGGCAAAAATTTTATCTGGTTCAATCAGGAAACTCATGATATTTCAGATTTTATTGTTATAATACAATTATAATTATAACATTCATATTTGGAAATGTAGTTATATAAGCTGAGTTTGGAGGCATTCTAGAGCCAGGAAGATTAAGAACCACTTTCTTAAAATTTAAAGAAGCGGAATCAGAATTAAATTTTCTTTTATTGTTATGATAACAATAAGCGCTAATTTTTTAAGGTAATTGGACATAAAGACTAGGGACCAAAACCCTCGAGGAAAAGACATTGGATAAATATACTTCAAGATAAAAAAGAAAGGCGAACAAAAATTCCTCAATTTTACACGCTTTTAAAATGCTTAAAAAGGGGAAATTTGGAACTAAACATATTTATACCGGAACGGAATAGCGCAAAAATGCCTTCGAGACTCTGATATGATTACATTTTTAGTTTTCAGTAGTAGTGATCTTAATGGTGATGACAACAATTCTAATAACAAATCGTTTACTCTGTAATCTTTTTATTCTTTTCCAAATTCCTTAATTTTATAGGAAATTTCATAAACTATTTTAACCTCAGGCACTTCTGAAAGATTAACGAGCAAAATAAATATTACTAAATCATGACTAAGCAGTATAATGAAGGGTATATTTTAAAATATTATTAATTAAAAATAAATTGTTCCGGAAAGTTCCAATGATTTCAAAATTATTAACTAAATAAATATTTTTAAGTAATTATTCATTAATAATAATAGAAATAGAGGGAATCAACACACTCTTAACCCAATTCGTTGAGCACTTTTATGAATGTGAATCCTACTTTTTTAAACTTCTGTGAACCAATTCTAGCCTTTAATTCTTTCAAATGATATTTAATTATATTAACCGTGTATGGGGAAAAAAATGATTACAAACATCTTATCACATTTAATTCTCTCTTCAGGGTGAGTCGTAGACCAACGTGCTAAATGAATAAATTCCTATATATCATGATCATGTGGTTTATAATTTTGATAAAATAATAATATACATTTTTTAATTTTTTTTATTATAACAAAATAAGCATCAAATTTCTTTACCGAACCCAGAGCCCAATCTAGTCGGGCAAAAAATCTCAAATTTGATTTGGGTAAAATTTGGGGATAACCCGTGAGATGAACCCATCCACAATGACTTTTTTTTTAAAAGTTGCAGGGAGACTGGGTTATACATATCAATATTTGAAAAAAATCAATTTTCAATAAAACTTTTAAAATGTTTTTAAGTTTACTAAAATAAATTTACAAGATAATTTTAAAATAATCATATTCACAGCAAAACTTCGATTCGTTTAAATTTGATGAGATTTAAAGATTTTCTACATTTCAATCTACCTAATTTAATGGTGCAATTTAAAAAAAATCTGATGATAAATATAGATATTTATAAACTTAAAATATTCCAGCATCGATTAAACAATAAAAAAATTAATTGTAAGCGGTGATTCAATGTATATTTATTTTACCATTGTTCGGCCAAAGGTGGAGAAAAATCGAGCCTCGTGAAGAGCACAAACAGTAAGTGATGCCACAAAACTGCAGTCCGATACTAGAGTCTGTCTGACGGCGGCCCAGTCCGGAGCGGGATAGTAAGGACCTGCCCATCCTCCAATCACTTTTAAGGGAGGGAAGAGGGTGGGGGTCGATCCCACCGCCAGCTGTGATGGGCGAGCCCATGAGGCAAAGTGTATCATTTGCTTTGGGGAGAGAGCCAAGGGTCCTTGGGGATCAGAGAAAGGTGCAGGGCCAAAAGAGAATCGTTCACCTCTCAAAAGTGGAGCCCCAACCTTGGGATGTTCACTGGTTAAGGAGTCAAAATCATCAAGAAAAGGAGGATAAAGTATGCCATTTATGCAGGATGTGTGTCTATATAAATATATATGAGAGTCGGGATAAACATATTAGATTGTTAAATGTGTGATTTAATCAGAGATGCATTAATACCATTTTTTACTGATAATAAATAAAACAATACAAAAAATTTAAGAAAAGATAAGTTTTTTAAAAAATAATCATTACCAGTCTCCATCTCCAAAAAAAATGATTAATTTAAGCTATAAAAAGTCTTTGAATTTTAATGAAGCTTGTAGTTATAATTTAATTTCTTGTATGTTTATTTTTTATAATAAAGTTAATTCTGCACTGATTTTACAAGTAAAAAGGTATATGCAAAGTATTTACATCGCTTTCTTCATTTATTAAGATTGGTTATATGATGGTTACTATTAAAATAGGCATTCTTTCTCATCTGTTAAGAAATTAGTAGAACAATTTATTTTTTTTCTTATAAATTCATGGCTTAATATGGCAATTTTTTTTAAAAATAAATAGGTTTTTTGGGTATGGCTCACCTCACTGGTATCAATTACATACAAGAATTAGCTGATATTAATACTGACTGATACTATTGGGTATCAGTGCATTATTGGATTTAATTATTTTTTAATAATATAATATTATTTATATGGATATAGATAGATAGATATAAACTCAAGGACAATGACTAAAAAGAAATATTAAATAAAAATAAAAATTGAATTGTTTAGGTCATTCTATGTCACCAAATATACCATAATTCTCTTGAACCCTTGAACCCTTGAACTTAAGGTGAAATTTTGAATACAAACTAATAAAATAACTAAAGAGCAATGTTTACATTTAGCATACTAGTTTTGATACATTTAGAAATATCAAATATTAAAATTTGAAATTGATCTATATTTATGCCATTCAATTGTTGCTCAATTAAAGATTTATCAAAAACTACCAAATATTAAATGATGGCTTTATATCAAAATAAAGTGTACACATTCTATTTTTTTAAATATTTTTTTATTGTAGTCCATTTAACCCTTTATCTAAGTTAAACATCCTTGTAAAAAATAATGGCTTTCTCTGATTTAAATAATTTTCACAAATGCCACAAAGAATAAAAAAAAATTAGAATGTCAAGTTTTAACTTTCACATATAAAATCAATAAATACAGATAAAAGACTAATAAAAATTAGAATGTCAAGTTTTAACTTTCACAGATAAAATCAATAAATACAGAGAAAAGACTAATATTTTTTTTATTCAATAAATATGTGTAATTATGTTCCATTATATTTAAAATCTATTCATGGTATTTTTATAATAGTAAAGAATATATAACATATATTTATTCAAATTATGGTATTTACAAGATTTTTTTAAAAATATAAGGCTATGAACCTTTACATTAAAAAAAATAAAATGGATACACTTTATTTGATTATACTTACAAAAATACAAATCAAATATTTGCATTATTCGTATTTGATGCATATTTAATATTGTATTATTCATATTTGTACAAACATTATTTGATTTGATTCATTGAATATTCAATTTGATAATTAAATTCTTTAATAATATTTTCATAAATGAAAAAGTCAGAGTTTAATTTGTGATTTATATTGAAAGATTTTTTTAAAATTATAAGAGAATTACTTATAAAAAGATATTTGCTTAAAGGATTTTTTTTTCAAACTCTGAAAAATTAGGTATTTAAATTTAAAAGATTTATAGATGTGAAAATAAAGTTTAAAAAAATAAAAGGTTCCATAAGAAACATGTAAAATACTTAAAGATAATTTTAAATATTTGTGAATAAGTTTTAATTTATGAATTGTTTCGAATATTTAAGAATAATGTAGAATATTTATAATATATTTTGAATTATATATAAAATTTCAAATTATGCAAAAATTTGATTAAATAATGAATCAAAAAAATTATTTGACAAATAATATTATTTCCCTTATTTGATTTTGTTATTCTTACCATTTTAACACAAATCGAATAAATTTGAATCAAATAATTTATTTTAGGTATAATTTTGATATTGAAATGAAATCATTATTTATAATACTGTAATTTTAGTAAATCTTTAATTGAATGAGTGATAAGCTAAGCTTAAAATAGTACATTTTATTTTAATCATAGAAAAAATATGAGCCAATATGCTAAAATTTAAATAATGTCTTAATTAGTATATTTATTTTGTATAAAAAGTTTTACCTAAATCCTAAGGAGTCCCACAAAAATCATGGGCATGAATAAAATATGTGCCCCAAAAAACTATGTGCCCCCTATTAAAGAAGCTTAATTTAAATTATATTATTACAGAATCATATTTAGCTTCATAAGATGAGTTAGAAAATTTTTTTTTTATTTAAAAAAAATGGCAACATATTTAAATTTTTAAAAATTATTTTTTTACATTACTAAACTACATGCTCCCTATCAAAGAAGCTTAATATATAAAAAAATGAACACAGAATCATATATAACTTATAAGGAATCAAAAAATATTAATCTAAGTTTATAAATTATTTATAACTTATTGAGATTTTGAAAATACACTTAATTTCTTCTTTTTTGACTAAATAATTTTAAAAATTTTACTATGTTGCCATATTTATTTAAATCAAAAAAAACGTTTTCTAACTCATCTTATGAAGCTAAATGTGCTTCTGTATTATTATAATTTAAATTAAGCTTCTTTGATAGGGCATTTTTGGGGGGTGTGTATTTTAGTCATGCCCAAAAATCATGATTTTAAACATGAAATAATCCTCTTGTATAAAAAATGACTTCATAATTTTACTAATTATTTTGATATTATTCAAATGGTATAGTGACCTTAAAACGCCAATCTCTTGCTTTGAATAAATTGAATGTCTTTTCTTAAAATTTTTATTAATGTCATTAACAATGTCAGGAAATTTGTGTTCAGTATCAAAATCATCAATCAATAAGTTATCCAAATCATTACAAACTGGTAATATATTTTCATTATTTCTAGGGTATATGTCTTTTAAAGTTTTTTCAACAATCATTTCTTTAATATTTTCAGCTCTTTCCACAGCTTTACTAGCTAGATGAGTTAATTTTGTTTTCAAAAGTTCATTATTGCATTGCTTTTTATCCTTGATACATAAATCAGCAGCTATATTTAAATATCATTATTATTATATTTAATGTTATAAGATGTTTACCTTCTAGATATAATTCTAAAGCTTCTTTAAAATTATCTGCATTATCTTGTTCTAATGCCTCCAGCAGCATAAAATTAATTCGTTCAAGAAACAATGTATTATTATCTAACTTATTATTACTATTAGCTTTTTCTTTGATAAAAATTTTCGATTTTTCCAGTTCCTCAGCCCTCTTATAATATTCATCTATTTTTTGAGTGATATTTGGTATTTTAGAAAGGCCTTTGATTTCTTTAAGTAATCTTACAGCTTCCTAAAAGACTAAAATTTAAATTGTTATATATAATAGCTTACATTGTAAAAATATATTGCAGCATCAAAATTTCTAGAGATGTCATATGTAACTGCTTTTTTAGACAAGAAAAGTATATCTTTTTCATTTGCTGTGCTCATGATTTTAAAAATACTTTAACCACTAAAAAGACATTGGGACACTTATTATAGGATTTATCATAAAATATAAATTGACAACCTGTCAAATGTTAACAATATATATTATATAATTATTTTAAAAATTAATATAATTTTCCATTTTTTTAGAGCATTCTTGAATTAAAGATAAAACAGAATTTGGTCTAAATTTTAAAAAAACTTAAGCACTAAAAAAAGAAATTTAGACCTTTGGTTATTTAAAACTCACCTTTTGGTGAGTTAAACAAAGAGATTTTTTGCATTTTTTTTGTAGTTATTTGTTTGCTACTGAGTATGATAAATTATAGGAGAGATCGCATGATTCCGCTAATTTATATTTAAAATGAATTATTTGGCTTATTTATAAAATTTGGTCATTACTTATTAACATTATAGAAAGGGGTTTGAAAATTTTTCCTGTCAAATAATAATTATTTTTCGATTTAGAGTTTTCCTTTTCAATTGTAAATAATTATAAACTATATATTCTGATCAAGACGTACAATTTTTTTCTGGGGATGGTTTTCTCAAATATAAATATATTTATACAATTTGAAACAAATTCTTGTTGAATATATTTGATATTGATAGAGATGTCCCTAATTCTTTCATTACAAACACATTCGTTCATTATGGATATTTACTCAAAGTATTCACAATACTGTTTCTCTATAATACAACTTATTAGGCTTTTTTCATCTTTTGAAAATTGGAAATATCTTTCCGCATGGCCCATGTTGTTCATACTAAATTTCTTCGACAACTGAATTAAGAGATAGACGTTTGGTAATTTCAGTGAATCACACATTTTAACAATTTAATAATAATGAGCACCATTTCTATCAAATATCTGCATTGGGTGGATTTTCAGCCCTCCCGTTCGCACCCACCCACTATAATTGGGAATAAATAAGTTATTATACACTTCTAACTCAAAAATTTTGAAAATGTCGATTGGGGCACTCCAATACTAAACCGACGATATTATGACAAATAAAATGTATTTGAATACATAATAGTGTCTAAATATCAATCAAGCATAAATGTTTAATCTTAATTGATTTTTATTATTTAAATTATTTTATAACTCTAATTAAATAAATATAATTTAATTTGAAATAAAATAAATCTAATTTAATAACGTGATTGTGTTAGCTGAGTTCAAAATAACTAATCAACTATACTAATATTTAAATTTAATTTTTTATCTTTGATTTGTTTTATACTTAAGCCGCATTCTACTTCCTTTATACCATAAAATTATTTTCCTATTATAACATTTAAATTTTACATCGCTGCTTTAACTTAAATAACTCTAATCCAAGCGAGCACACCGGAATAGATGTACTTTCCAAATCTGTTATACCAAATAAAATTCCTATTACGTCATCTTTATAAAATATCCTCGTACTCAAATTAGTATAATCTAGTGAGGCCCATGAACAAACTCAAGGGACAATTACTTATTTCTTCCCTAAATATAATAGGTCTACGAGATAAACTCGCTATTCTACTAAGATTAATGACGGACGAGAAAATGGACATAATCGCTTTACAGGAAACCCATAGTCAGGGTAACATCACATAAACTTTCAATCACTTTATTTTATACTGCTCTGGTACTACTTCAAATAATTAGTCTGGCATGATAAACAAAAGAATATATACTTATATTGATAAATTTGAACCAATCTCTGAAAGATGCGGCTTATTATATGTTAACCCAAATTTTAGACAAACAATACTAGTGAATATATTACGCACCTCCAAATAAGAGAGATAGATTATCTTTTTTAGACAATCTAGAAAACGTAATTAATGCTTTACCTAGGAGGTATAATATAATTTTGATGGGTGATTTAAACACCAGGATTAAATTAGAGGAAATTTACATAAGAAGCAACATTATTGGTAATGCAGCCCACGCACAGTCTAATGGGGATGAAAGTAGGAAAATATTTGATTTTTGTAGGAGCAATAATCTCAAAATCATAGAGAGGCAAATACAGTTACATTCATAAGAGGACATTTTAAATCACAGATTAATTTCTTCATCTTGATGTTCATGGCTGGTTTAAGGATGTAATGGCTATGATGAATATTAATTTATCTGACCTTAGAATGATCACAGAGAGCCAATTTATGGGGAGCCTCAATCAGGAGTTAGCTTGAATTCAAATTAGAGCCGAAATATATTTATATATGATTGAAACATTTAAAGAATATAATTATCAGAATTATTGTTCTACCTAGCATTAATTATTATTTATTTATTTTATTTATTTATATTTATATTTAATGTTAATATTAATATTTTTTAATTATATTATTATATTATAGAATGAAATAAAATAAAATATGATATTATGAAAATGGATTTATTTATTTATGTTATATTAATAAAAAAAATGATATGCTGTATTGTAATATTATTTTTCTTACGTATTATTAATGATTTTCACGCCAAAAATTTTAAGCAAAAAATATTTTTTGAAGTTCAAAAAGATTTTTGAATATATTTGGATTTGATAAGAATTTTAAATCTTCTTTGCAAATAAATCTTTTTTTATAAATTTTATTATAAATAAACAATCTTTTAGGTGAAATCTTTTCTAGTTTTTTTTAATCATCAATGTAAAATTATATATTTTTTTAAATATATTAAAAGAGGTGGTTTATTTTTAAAAAAATTTTTTATTAAAAATATTTATATTAAACTTTTTTATGCTATCTTATATTATCTTTTTAAGGATAATCTTTTAATGTGACAATTGTCATACTCGTTATTTTTAACATTTTTTAAAATTTTTTGACACAAAAGGGTAAAAATAATTTATATTGTAAATATGTTAAATTATAACAATGAAAATGTTTTTTGGAAAATTGACAATTATCTTAATCCTTATTTTTAAATATATTAGGTTTTTTTTGACGCTATTGGACAAAAATTATTTTTAACATGTTAAATTAAAATTTCAATTAAATGTACCATAAAAGTGACAATTGTCATAATCGTTATTTTTAAAGTTTTTTAAATTTTTTTGACGTAAATGAGTAAAAATATAGACTGTAAACATGCTAAATTAAAATTTCATAAAGATGTAATATAGAAAAGTGACAATTGTCATAATCGTTATTTAAAAGTTTTCAAATTTTTTTGACGGAAATGGAAATATAGATTGTTAACATGTTAAATTAAATTTAGTGAAGATGTATCATAGATAAATAACAATTATCCAAATCGTTATTTTTAAAGTTGTTGAATTTTTTTTAAAGCAAATGGGTAAAAATATAGATTGTAAAAATGTTAGAGATTATTTAGAGTAACAAACAACATCGGTGCCAGTGAAAGATTATTTTCCAGAGCTGCCGCTACCCTTACGAAAAAACGAAATAGACTGTCGTCTACAATTCTCAAATAATGCCTATCGATAAATTCATGGGATATAAATTTTTTAAATTTAAAGGAAGATTTTTGGAAATATATAATACTTTAGCATATATCATTTATATATTATATAAAATAAAGTGTATGTTATTTCATAAATAAAAATAATATTTAGTAAAAATAATGCGACCATATTTAATTTTTTTTAAATTTATAAATTAGTTTTATCGAAGTAAAATATAAAATAGATATTTTAACTAAATGGTCTTTAATAAACAAAATTATATGTACTAGGATTCTGTAATGAACTAAACTCTATCAGTAAATTCCTTACTGTTTTCTAAGTTTATATTTCATGAGTTAGAAGCTTTAAAAAATATTATACAGAAAAAAAATATTAGGGCTTTCTTATTACAAGAATTAAATATATCAATTTATTTGAAAAAATAATGATATCTCTATTAAAAATTTAAGTCCGGCACCGGCACGGTCCTAAACTTTATATAAAATATTAGGCTCGCAGCCTGAACCGAATTATTTTTAAATAATAGGGCTCGGGGGGGGGGGGGGAGAGATATTTACTTGTAGTTATAAAAACACGTGAGCTTTTAATTTAACATGTTTACAATCTTTATTTTTACGCATTTGCTTATAACAATTATCACTTATCACTAAATTTTTATTTTAACATGTTAGCAATCTATATTTTTGTCCATTTGCGTCAAAAAAAATTTAAAAACTTTAAAAATAACGATTGTGACAATTAACACTTTTCTATAGGACATCTGAATCGATTAAGCTAGCCGACTAAGTGAGTCGACTAAGCGAGCCAAATAAGCGAGCCAAATAAGTGAGCCGATTAAGCAAGCAAATTAAGTGAGCCAACTAAGCAAGCTTACTAAGTCAGCCTAATAATCGAGTTGGCTCATGCGGCTCTTTGATCAGCTTGAGTCGGAGCCGTTTTTACAACTATGACTCGATGCAAGTCGTAAGAACTCAACTTTTTAACAACACCATTGTCAAGAATGATGAAGAATATTAAATTTCTACTTTATTTGATGATGGGTAATCAGAAATGTTCCCTTATTATATGATATAAATTAACCTAATTTATGTGGAATATTAATTCTTTATTTGATGATGGGTAATCAGAAATGTTCCTTTATTATATGATATAAATTAACCTAATTTATGAGGCGTGAATCAGGATCTATATCTGTTTTGATGAGAGTTATTTAAATTTTTTAATATTATTTTTATAGATATGTTAATGAAGTATTTATTTGTAGTACCTACAATATGAACAAATAATTGGAACATAATGTAAATCAATGGTTGGCAATTGAAGCCCGGCCCAGTGAAAATTTAGCTGATTCCCAGCCCAGTCAAATTTTTGCTAATCTCAGGCCAGTTTTAATTTTTTTAAAGTTGTCTGATTTAGCTCAATTTTTAATTTTTTTAAAATATAAGTCCTAAACCAAATTGTTGAACATAAATAACTATTTATGATCTTAGATAGTGGTTAAATTAAAAACACTATATTCTATTCATCAAATATATATCGAAAAAGTGAACACTTCAATTTTTAGTACAGCCTACTCCAATAAATTTACAGATGTATGGGCTTGGGCC